AACATCTTAGGCTGTATGAAGAAGAATAAGTGTTGTGGCCATGATTCTAGCATCCACTATGCGCTTGCATGAATATACTTCTGAATGTCTGATTGGCTATTATTATTATTTAATCACACGTTTATCCCTCTCTTCCAACAAGGAATTCAGGGCAGTATAAATGGTCCTCCCATTTTTTCCTTACAACAGCAACCTTGAGAGGTACAGGAGAATCTGGTCCAAGACCACTCAGTAAGTTTCATGGCTCAGTTGGGAGCTGCTGCTCCAGCAATTGTAACCCTTGTACCACATTGGTTCTTATGAAATTGCTGTTTGTGTATTACATTTGTATCACTCTTTTCCTCCAAGGAGCTCAGAGTGACAGGGAAGCCTCAGAACAGCCCTGTGAAAAGGAGAGTCATTAGAGGAGCTTCTGGGCAGGTGGCTTCTAATGCTACCCAGTATTGTTTTTCGACTGTAAGTTCCAGGAAGAACTTTGCAGTTGACCTTTAAGAGTATTCCAACACTTGGGAGCTTGGGCTGCAGCTGAATTGCTCATCAGTTCTGAACTAACAAACTAAAAGGATGTCTTTGCCACATCTGCTCAGTCATTATGGCTTGTGTCTGTATCTACTGTCCCCACATTTAAGCTGCATGTGTTACCACCACCACATAAGGGAAGTAGCAGCAGAGCTTGCAGAAACAATTGAATTTGTTAGTATTTATTCAAAATAATTTCAGGGGGGGAGTGGAGAATTATTCACAGCAAGCGTATAAGGCCAGATATTATCTTTCCAAAGAGATGCAAGCTTTGACTGTCTTTTGCAAACATACACTGTATTTTCTTTCTAAAGGCAGGGAGTTGGTTATCTTAGACTTATCCAATTCACAAAATGCACCTCTGAGGCAGTGTCGCTCCTAGTGCAATTCCACATGTCTGCCATTCCCATTGAGTTCAACAGAGCTTACTTCTCTGCAAGTGGCCTGCGCACGCTCCAGTTGGAGAACAGCCTTTACCAAAGGGGTCGTGGGCTTTGAAGACACTCGAACTCAGGACGCAAGGGAGAAACGTGCTAGGAGGAAGGGACGCTTGGCAAATCCACACCGTGATCAACTCCTGCCTGGAAACCAATGTCCCCACTGTGGAAGGACGTGTGGATCCAGAATTGGCCTCCACAGTCACTTACAGACTCATTGTTAAAACCGTGTTTATGGAAGACAATCTTACTTGGCTATGAGTGATCGCCAAAGAATAAGAAGAAGGATTGCAGCCTAAGTGACTCAAATATAAAACCACTGAAGGAACTGCATGAAAATACAAATGCAGCACAGAATGTTCCTTGCTCTTTGCTGCTTTTATATTTATGACTTTTTTGTTTCTTCGAGTAAAGATGTAAGAAGAAGTTGAATTTGACTGAAGATCAGATTTACTGCTTCATATTCACGCTAAAACTAAGGGCTGATCTACTTGAGCCAACACACTCATAAACAGTCCTGGTCCTCGGATGGTTTTTTTTTATTAAAACTCCACAGAATAATCTAGCCAGGTTTCATGTAGGGTCTTTATCCAGAATAAGGAGATAGAAAGGCAGTGCCAGATTACGTACAAGCTAAACAAGCTATAGCTTAGAGCCCCACTCTCTTGCCCCCCCCAAAAAAATTTAAAGAGAAAAAAACTGGATGTACATTTCCAAAATATAAGATAAAAAGCTAATAAAATGGCTTTAGATACCTATTAGGTCCATAAATTACCATATAGCATATATTCAACACAAAAATCAGCGACAATTTGTTGTTGACAAAGGACAGCTGGACACATAAAATTACCTTCAATAGCTTAGGGCCTCATCAAACCTAAATCCGGCCCTGTAGAAAGGTCTAGTAAAGACAAAACCTGCTTTTGTGTCTGATTATGAAGACATGGAATTTATGCATCTCTTTCTTTGCTTATTTAACTCAGGGCCTTGTCATTCAGTTGCAATTTGGAACCCTGGGATTGGAGATATTCCAACAGGTAATCATTCAGACACATCCTGTTCTTGATCTTCTGAAGTGCAGGGGTTCCTCTGCAATGACATCAAATCTATGGAAACGTTTGAGCTATGTAAATAGTCCTAGTAGTTGCAATTAGATTTCACCCTGTTCTTTCATCATGTGAAAATTTCCAAAATGTCTGATGGGATTTTAATTTCTTGAATTTCTAAAGGTTAACCTTCTAACTTGAAATAATTTGACCCAGTAGAATAAAGCTCTGGACAATTATACACACAAACGAAAACAATGCGGCTGCTTTATGACTTTATTAGCACACATTACAAGGTCCCTGTCAGAATTAGAGCTCTGTCTCATTCTCTCTTTTGAAGCAAGCACACTTGAAAATGTCAGGCACTCCCAACTATAGCAGCTTGCAGTACTTAAATATCTCAATGGAAATTTTCAATAAACGAGGCCATAAAATTAGGTGTTGAAAGGTCATATGGTTTGACCATCAATGTATCTAAGCAGTAGTCACATTGTTCACTTCAATGTAAAGTTGTTACTGTTTGATTTTCGTCCCCCACCCGCCTGCCGCCCCACTTTTTTTTAAAAAAGAAAACGCCAATCATTTTGTATGCCAGAATGGAAAGGAAGGTCTCTGGAGTTCTGTCTTGATGTTCCTGTCTGCAGCACAACTGCATTCCTTAATGAATGCTCAGGGCTCTATTTCTAATTTTGGAATTGAGTAAAATGAATTTGCTGCAATTCTCAATCACTGGGGAATAATCTTAATGTACTTCCCCCTACTGTTTATGTCTTTATGCAAACAGTGTCTCCTTAACAATGCCCATTGCAGCTAATTTGCAACTACAGATCTCAAAAATATTGTCTTCTAAAGTTTTAATAGAGCCCCATGCAACTTAATTATCCATTATTGGCAGCTTCTCTCCTGGGGTGATTAGTTGGATGAAGCTAGTGAACTTTGAAACTGCAAAATCTCAGATGGAAAGATGATTAGTTTATTTAGCAAGAGACTGGGATAGGAGGGAATGATGGGACTCCCTCGACTCATCTTTGATCAACTTGTTTTCTCTATGGCAGGCTATTTCTTTGCATGGAAGAATCTCATTTAAAGTTTTGTTGGAGAGTTCTCCCTAACTGGAACAGTCCCTGTGTAAAGTTTACATGAATATGAATGAAAAATGAATTCATCCATTCATCAGTGTACTTTTCAGATTTTAGTTTCTTCTTCTTAATAGGTCTCCTGATGTTACTGAAATCCATTCTGGGCACTCTGCAAGGCTGCCCATTTCCCCTCAAGTTCCTGCCAGCTGAAGTGGTTTATCATGTTTTGATTCCCAAAAGGAAAAAAGGATAATTGAAAATCAATGTGGAGTCACATCAGGGACATTTTTTTGACATTATGATACTCTAGTTAACTCTATTTACATGCAAAAGACAGATGGCGATAATAGATTGCTATGTCCCAAGAAAGTTAAGGCCTTGTGAGATTAGACCACAGAATATGGTGATATATTAAAATAAATGAAACAGAGTGGTCATTGAGATTAGCAGTCTAAAATCTTGCATCTTGTCTAGACAAACAGTACAATCCAACACATGCCTACTCAAAGCAACACCCTCAGAATTCAATGGATTTACTCCCAAGTAAGTCTGCATTAACTTTAAAGCCTAAGTACGGCTACCTTACTGGTTCATAAATATTCCTTATGAATTTTAAACAGAAAGCAATATGGATATATATATATATATATATATTACCTGTATTGCTTTCCAATATTGGGTCTGGTGACTTCTGTTTCAGTGTATCTGAAGAAGTGTGCATGCACACGAAAGCTCGTACCAATAACTAACTGAGTTGGTCTCTTAAGGTGCTGCTGGAAGAATTTATTTATTTTATTTATTTTATTTTGTTTCAATATTTAAACGTTTACTCAGAAGTGCCACTTAGGCCAATGGTACAGTTGTAGCCTTAAGTAGTCTTAAATCTCTCTCTCTCTTTCCCCTTTTTTGGCCTCAGTGGGACAATTCACCATACATGGCTTTCCCCCACCAGCTACCACTTTTCCCATAACCCTGTGAGGTGGGCTAGGTGCACGGTCTTGTTTTAGTGCCTTCTGGGCATTCTATTTTTAAAGCACACTTTAGTCCCTGATCCTCGTTTTTCTCGTATGGAGCATCTCAGCATTCGCCTTTTTTAAAAGAGTACTGAATGTCAAGTGTGGCCCACGGTGCCTAGTGTTCAGGATCCCCTTTGAGAAGGAGCGCCGAAGACGCGCGCCCGGGAGAGTTCCGCGCTCCGACGCGCCTTTGCGCATGGGAAACGGCGTTGGCTGACCCGTTTGCTCGCGCTTGCGACGGGGACAGCAAGTCTGAGCCCACCGCCGCTCCGATGCTACTGGAACGGCCTGCCGGCTTCCTTACGGAGCTCGGGGAAGTCGCCGTCTTAGGTACATTAAGCACCATTGAACCCAGAGCGATCAGTTAGTTGCAAGTAAACAGCGGTTGCAAGTCAAAAGATTGGGTTGCATAAGGATGATTTGCACAGGCCTCGTTCCTTCTCCGTTGGGCTCCGTCAGAGGCCAGAATCATCCTGCTGGTCGGACAACGGGAAGCGCATCAGCGGCGGATTAATAAGGTTTCCAGATATTGCATTGTTTTAAAAAATAAACCATTTCTGTACTACTCCCCCCGCCCCCCGAAGATCTCAGATCTGGTGGTTCCAGTAGGTTTTCCGAAGTGGTCGTGGCCTCAGATGAGGGAGTCTTATCTTATTGTTCACGCCTACTTTTGTGGGTATTGACTACTCGCAAGCAAGCCCATTGAGTTCAATGAGGGGAGGCGTAAATGCGCATCGGAATATTTGCAATCGTGCAAACGCGTCAGAGACATCTAGGGCGCAATGTTGCCCACACTGACTTTTCCGCGTAGACATGTAACTGTGTACTTCTACTCGCCGATGATAAACTACAAGCCCCATAAATCAGAGCGGCACAGCAGGGACGTAAGTTTCGCGCATGCGTAGTTAAGGGCTCGAGGCGCCGTGGGACCAGAGGTTCCGTCCTTTCCGTTGCTCAATGAAACCTTCCTAATGGAGCGCCGGAGCTTTTGATGGTGCTGCGCAAGCGCTGTGGCTGGAGCTGGCACGATGGAGCATCCGCGGCTGCTACAAGTTGCAAGTCTGTTTCTATTTGTTCTGTGCTGGGGGAAGAGCTCAGCTGGTGAGTCTGGAGTAAATGCCGCCGGGATCCTGCTTTGCAGAGGGGTCGCGTCTCCCGTTGGCATGTGCGCAGCCCCGGTGCGCCGCTTTCTTGTCCTTGCTTCTCGTTGTTACAGCTTTGCTAACAGTAGGCTGCTGTGTGTGTGAGAGTGTGTGTATGTGAGAGACAGAGAGAGAGAGAGAGAGACCGACCGACCTATAAAAACCAGCGTAGGAGAGTCTTGCAGTCTTGGATCGCCGCCTCCGGTCCCGGTTCTGGCCACATGGAGCGATGCGTGCCCAAAGGCAAAACTGATACTTCCTAAGTGGCTCCCTTCTCTTTGTCCCGCAGAAATTCTGAAGTCTCCGAGAACTTCCCTGCTTAACTGCTCAAGAAGTGCTTCTGCGGCTTCTGGCGGGGGCAGTACAGTACTGCTCAGCAAACAGGAACTGATTTACCCAACTTAAAATATTAACCGTGTGTGTGTTTGTGTGTGTGTGTGTGTGTGTGTTAGAGAGAGAGAGAGAGAGAGAAGGAAGGAAGGAAGGAAGGAAGGAAGGAAGGCAGGCAGGCCCTGATGAAACTCATACCCTTAAAAAACACATGGGGGTCGTCTTTGTCTTGGAACTTGTGTTTCCCCCTCCTGCCAGAGTAATGGCAAAGCGGACCTGCAGGCAAAATGAAATGAGTGTCCCAATTTTAGATACTCTTGGAGTGCACTGTTTTCTTCAAAAATTTGGGGCAAGGATAAAGTTGCTCTTGCATCATTAAAATGTCAAAACTTTTGACATGTTACACAGTCCACTTCTGCTGGTGATAGCAGACTCTTTGTGGGGCTTAGCATTCTCTTCCAAAGCTCCAACCCATGCACCTCAGTCAGGCAATCTGGTCTAGAAATGGAAGGATGTGCATGGATTGAACAGCAGCAATTTTTTAAAAAAAACTTCACTTGGTGTAAGTGTACTAACTCAAACAGGCAAAACTGTTTTAATGCCTAATTCTTTAATTTCCTGTGGTGCAATTCTATGCATGCTAATTCAGAAGTAAGTCCCCACACCATGTTCAGTGGGTTTGCTTGGGTAAGTCAGTGTGTTTTAGGACTTATTTATATATTGAATTTATATCCTGCTCTTCCTTCCAAAGGAGCCCAGGGCAGTAAACAACAAGAGCTAAATCAATAAAAACATCTGAAAAACAATTCCAAGTGCCAGCGCAGATTGGGCGAAATCTCAACCTAAAAGGCTCGTTGACAGAGGAAGGTCTTTGGTAGGCACTGAAAAGACAAGGAAGCAGCACCTGACTGATATTCAAGGATTGTAACTTTTTTGTGTTGCTGAAGCTGGGTTTCTGGGTTTAAAGCAGATTTCCTGTAAGACAGGCTACCCTTTCATCACTAGATTAGGTCTCAGAAACAAGCCTGCCACTACACCAGTCACATGTGGAAATGTGATGCCAGAAAGCTACAAAACCGAGTCCCTCAACCTCCCACATCATTGCTGGTCTGAAGGTCCATGAGGTTACCACCTTGCTGAAGCTAAACAGATCTAGGCCTGGTTAGTGCCTGGATGGGTGGCCTCCTAGGAGCAACATGCACCACCTTCAGTTCCACGACAGAAGAAAGGCTGGAAGGAAATAGAATTAAATAAATATACAATAAAACCCTTCCTTTCCTTCAAAGAGTTCAGGGCAGTATAAATGATACAAGAAAGTTGACCAATACTCGTTACTGTGAAATGCAACTCTTTGAGAAGGGATTCAGCAAGGAAATACCATTATACATTCAGGGGAGTGTTGAGAAGTTCTGGAGGGCAAATAAATGGTGGGAGAATTTGGCCAGGTCCACCCACAAGGGGTTCACAGCATTTTCCTTGAAGGTGCTGTGGTTAAGTCACTGAACAGGAGGCTGGATCCAGATTCATTCTCAACACACAGGACAAAGCCTTGGCCAATCTTGGCACCTTTATCCTGTGTAGGTGGGCAGTGGGACCTCTTGATGATTGTGTCAGATTGACCAGAATTTAATCCTCCTTATGTATGTTTCAGATACAAAATGGAGCAAATTCTTGGTTCAGATAGACAGAGCTGTGGAGAACTACAAACCATGTATGCAGGCAAACTGCAGCTGTCATCAAAGGTAAGGGGCCAGCATCTCTCACAATCCAATTAATACTTACAGTGTGATATAACTCACCAACTCTAGGTTGAAGGTGTTACCCTAAGTATGCTGAATTATAAGCACCTCATGTTATTGGGGATCACTTGCAACAACCTCGTTATTGGGAAGCAGATGATGTGTGCCAAAGCAGACCTGACACCATTTACACAGTTAATTGTGAAGGTTTCTTTTAAAGAGTAAATAGCATGGGTGGTACCCTGCCCGAGATTGAGAACTGATGCGTGGGTTAACCCATCTGAGGTCCCAGTCTGGATTAGCACCTGCCACTGGCTTTTAACAAATTTTGCACATGGAATTTGTTCACACAGTTGCTAACTGCATGGCATGTCTACTTGGAACGTGTGCTGTCTTGAAATAGTAATATTTAACATTGTAACCACCACCACCTGTTTATGAATTGCTTGTTACAGATGACAGAGCCTCGCAGTGATAAAGCACTAAACACAACAGAATATCAGCTTGAAATATAGTACCTTAAAATATCAATCCACAATCAATCGGATGAAGGATGGTATAGCAATTTAATAAATAACAACTATAACACAGAAAAATCCCCCCAACACAGAATTGAATTAATATTGATATTAATTCCTATATTTAATATTTAATGACACAGGGTCATTAAAAATAGGTTCTGATTATTTGTGTGTATCAACCAAATGTAGAGAGGAAATATCGCGTCTTCGTTGGAAATATAGTAATATTGTTACTAGGTGGACCCAATGGTGTTCATAGTTTAAAGTAGCTCCCTGTTTCAGCTCCCTCTCTCTCTGTGCAAGGCAGCAAGTTCAATATATTCTACTAAAGTGATTGTATTGAACCATCCCATGCTAAAATCCCTTCCTAGAATGACTTAGCTGTTATACTAATTTTCCTTAATGTGTTTAATGATGGGTGGAATCTTTCTTCCCTTAGAGTTAGGGAACAGGACTTGGCTCCCTTCCGAGAGGGGATCTCCGAGGAGCTGCTGTCAGAAGCAATCAGTCGAAGGCTTGGGACGCACTACCAGATCATTGAGAAGAAGTTGTACCGTGAACATGATTGCATGTTCCCTGCAAGGTGAGAGCAATACGGAATGTATCAGAGAGAGAGAAACAGGAAAATCTCCCTAGCCTCCTTAACCTATGGGTCACTGAGCAGAAAACATTTGAAAGGGCTAAATTCCAGTGTAAGAGGAAGAAACTGATGAGGCATTGCTTTGCCTGAAATGTAGAAATTGCATTTGCTTTTGTGAGAAATCAATATTGACATGGCACTTTAGTTGTACGAGGGGGTGATGCGGGTTAGAAGCTGAAAGAAATCGGCAATAAATGCCTCTTGGGAGCAAGGATAATGGAAAGGGATAACTTGCTGAGTTGTCTAAAAACAGTTGTTTGGGTGTCAGAAGGAGCTTGTGTCTGCGCCCAGCTTGGTTTATACTTGTAGTAAAGAGCAAACAACACCAGCATTGCAATGTGTCCCTATTGCTTTCCTCTTTCATTTCAGTCCCTGGGCTTTTTGTGTGGTCATGCTGTTCCTATGGGTATAAAAGCCTTTCTCTGTCCTCTGTTTGGCTGCTTCCCTTCAAGTCTACCTAGAGAGACCCCATTAGCCTTTTATCAATTGCCTTGCATTCAACCGACTCTTGCCTTCACCATCTCTGCTGCTTGTGTGGTGTGCCTTCATTCAAGTCTTGGTCTTCAAGACATGGACACTTTACCTTCAGTGTGGTGTAGTGGTTTGGGTGCTTGACTAGGGTTGGTGAGACCTATGTTCAAATCCTCACACAACAGCAAAACTCAACTAGCAGACATAACCTACCATACGGGGAGGATATAAGTGCAGGCTGGGGAGGAGAACCTGTAGTTCTTGAGGGAAGGAGTAATACAAAAATAATGGGCGGGAGTCAACAAAGTTTTACACAGAGTAGGTCCATTGAAATTAAGGGGACAAACTTAGTCACATTCATTAATTTTAATGGGTCTACTCTGAGTAACATGCAGTTGAACGCTATCTGTGATAGAAAAATGCTATATATACATTCTCAATAATCCTTACAGCATCCCTCCATATCCAGTTAGTATAATTTTTCTTCTGTTGAATTGTATGAAGCCCTATAAGTGCAAATGTGAGGCAGAGGAAGACTGCTGAAGGGGATAATGAGAGATGGGGAGTTTCTTGCTTGGGGCCACCTGGTAAGTTTGTGGGTGAGGCTCAAACTCAGGACTTATTGACTCTTAACTCAAACAGTTAACACTGGTGTATCCCTCCCATCTCATGCGGGTAGTTCTCTGAATTTTTTTGAGCTTATTTTCACAATATAACTGAGTTTAAGGTATCAGTCATTAGAGCACAGAGTCCTAACATATGGACAAGTAATTCCGTTGACATTGTCTATAAAATTTTCAAGGGTTCACCCTTAGGTAGCCAAAACAGCACTACCCATGTACAAGGAGGTGATATTGGCAGACTTGGGGAAAACTGCTTCGAGATTCCATTACAATAAATCAGTAGGGACATTTACTTCAATAAAAACTGAATAAAACCCCAATATTTGCGTAAGTACAAATTTTGGCATCTGTTTCATGATACAATGGAAAGTGTGTGCCATCGGGGTTAAAGTCAAACCGTTGGAGAGTTACTGTAGAGACCAATAGGGGAGAGACATGTTTCATTGCAGCTGGGGCAAATGAAAGCAGCCAGTTATCCTGCTGCAGATGCACCATTGCATTTCTTCTCTCTGCTCTTCTCCCAGCAGTCATTTCTCCTCTGGTCACTGCTTTGAATACATGACCTGACTGTCTGTCTTCAGGCACTACAGTTGTCTGCAAGGGATTCCCACACAGCAGGGTTGATGTTGTCGGCCTTCATGCCACGTTTTCAGACATCTTTGTAACACAGAGTTGGTCTGCCAATGGGCCTGGTGCTTGAAGCCAGCTCCACAAAATACGTTAGTATGTATTACCGTATTTTTCGCCCTATAGGACGCACTTTTTCCCCTCCAAAAATGAAGGGGAAATCTGTGTGCGTCCTATGGGGCGAATGCAGGCTTTCGCTGAAGGAAGCTATCAGCAAGCCTGGGGAGCTCGCGGGAGTTCCCGCAGGGCTCCCTAGGCTGCGGATAGCAGCCTGCTGTCCGGAGCGCGGGGCGCGCTGAAGCAGAGCACCCCGTGCTTCGGGCAGATATCCGCAGCCTAGGGAGCCTGCTGCCCTTGTTTTTCTCCTCTAAAAACTACGGTAGGTGCGTTTTTAAAAGCTCGGGCTTCCCCCGCCCCAGCCCCGCAGCTGGGGGGGGGAATAATTTTTTTTGCTTTATTCCCCCCCCCAAAAAAAACCTAGATGTGTCCTATGGGCCGGTGCGTCCTATAGGGCGAAAAATACGGTAGTTAGTGGCCATAACACACTAACTATCTTTTTCAGGATAAATCTGAAAACTGAGTAGCAAGGGAAATGAAATGGAGGATGACCGATGAAGGCATGGCTGGGACTTCATATTTCTTGCAGGTCTCACTTGATATGAGTAATTCTCAAGGCCACCCCTTGCATGTATTGCTATCCACAGGTGCAGTGGGGTCGAACACTTCATCCTTGAGATCATTAACAACCTCCCGGATATGGAGATGGTGATCAATGTGCGAGACTACCCCCAAGTGCCCAAGTGGATGAAACCAAAGATACCCATCTTCTCCTTCAGTAAGGTGAGAGAGAGTGGACAACTCCTTGGTCATACTTGGTGGGGACAGCTAAGACGCTTATTTGAATATCTTTCATTACGGAGATATTTTGCAGGAACTAATGTGCTTCTGTCTGTCCATTTTCTGAGAGACGTTGGAATATTATGATATTATGTACCCTGCTTGGACATTTTGGGAAGGCGGACCAGCTGTTTGGCCAATTTATCCAACAGGTTTAGGACGTTGGGATCTAATGAGAGAGAGCCTCAAAAGGTATGTTTCTGGAGAGAAAGATGAAGCTTGTTTTGTGGAGTCTGAAGTGTGTTTCCTAAGAAATCAATCATACTTTGTAAGATGGAAGTAAGAATGACATAAGAACGGCAGTGATCCATAAGCTTTGTAAGTTGTGAGGGACATCTAAGCCAGCTGAGGCTGCAGCCCTATACCCACTTACCTGTGAGTAAGCTCCATCAAATCCAGTGGGACTAACCTCTAAGTACACATGTATGGGATTGGCTCAGCTAATTTGGGGGGCTTTAAACAAGCCAAATTGGTGGAAATCCAAACAGGAGTTAGCATTTGGGGTAGCAATGACTTTGCAGACATCCAACAGTAAGATGCAAGAGTTTTGGTATTTTTGTGAGTATGTATTAAGGGGAACTTCAGCTTCTCTGTATAGCAACTCGAATTTGCTAACATCCCCTCTTTTTCACAGCCTTTAATGGCATAGAGGCTGCCATCGTTGCTTTCTAGAACATCCTGCAGTGATGGAAATAAATACATTGATTCCCAAATATGACACAAACTGACCAGTTTCTCTCCAGTGTCATCAATTTTAGATGTGAAAGAAGTGGCACATTAATCAAATGGTAAAATGCCTTGCTAGAATAATGGGTGATGCAACTAATAGCATGGAGCAGAGTTTGTTTAGTTGAGGTTACTTAACCTAAAACCAAAGAAGGGATTCGGAGAAATAGGATGGATTTCTTTGCTTCTCTTACTAAGGTGTTATATGTCCATGTTTTTAACATCATGTACTGATCAAACTCTCCTTAGCTCTGCAGAAAAATGGCCCTGGAAGAAGAAAATTTCGAAAGCCTATTTCCGAGGGTCCAGGTGGGTTAGCTCAGTTCCCACTTCCTAACACTGATATACTACCGATGATTTGTATAGTGATAAAACCAGGGCATTAACAAGACTAGGGCTATGTACTCTGTTGCCCAGGAAGATTTAATGTTTACAAATGATATAAGCAGGGCTCCGACACATTCTCAACAGGGGTTGATATTTTCAGTTCAGAACAGGGTGATTGTTACCTAGTAAAACAGCTGTTGTTGTTCTTTAGTCGTTGAGTCGTGTCCAACTCTTTGTGACCCCATGGACCAGAGCACGCCAGGCACACCTGTCTTCCACTGCCTCCCGCAGTTTGGTCAAACTCATGTTCGTAGCTTCGAGAACACTGTCCAACCATCTCCTCCTCTGTCGTCCCCTTCTCCTTGTGCCCTCAACCTTTCCCAACATCAGGGTCTTTTCCAGGGAGTCACAAAACAGCTGTACTATGTACTAACCTTCTCAATTGTTGATTGTCTTTCCTGCATTCGGGTAACTATTAGTGTGCAGCCACTGTTCCAAATATTTTACTCGAAACGTACTCAAAACAAAAGACCCCCTAATGATTTACATATACAAGATACAGAGCAGCTTAGGCTTTGCTGAGGTGGAGGAAATGCTAGTTTCCTGCACTTCTTGTTCGTGTTCCTTCTCTGCTTTATTATATTCAAACATAACTTTCATTCTTTCTTGATGACAGGATGGCTTGTGGGTTTTTTGTGTGTGTTTGGATGCAGTGAAGAAGCAAGAATACATTCTAGATCTTCTGTATCTCAGGGGTGGAAAACCTGTGGCTTTCCAGATGTTGGACTAGAGTTCCCATCAGCCCCAATGAGCATGGTCAGTGGTCTGGATGATGGGAGTTGTAGTCCAGCAACATCTGGTTTTTTTATATAAGATATTTATTGAAATTTTCAAGGTGTTACCAAATAAAATAAAAACAGTAGAAAATACAAAATAAATATAATTAACAAAGTAGGAAAAAAAAAACCCTTCCAACCGTATGTATACAAATTCAAAAATGAGAAAAAGTGACAGAAAGAAAAAAAAATGCAAAAATACATCACACAAAATTAAAAAACATTTAAAAACAAATTCATTATTCTCATATCCTCAACTGTCATTACCCTCTTTCTTTGACCTCCTCCTCCTCCCTTTCTTTGTATCCTAGTTATTAATTATCCCAGCAAATCCTTTCCATATTTCTTAATATTCTGTCATTACATTACCCTAAACTGTTTTAATCTTATCTTTCTATAATAAAATAAACCTTAAAGTTTAAAACTTAAATCTTATCCTTACCAACTTCTCATAACCATAATATTCTTTCATAATTCTTTAAACATCTTTACTAAAGCCAAGTAATTTCATTCCAACATTTTTCTAACATTCATCAATTTTATAAAACAGTTCTAATGGTAGAAAAAAGAAATACAAACAAATCCAATCTTCATCCAACGTCCCTTCCTCCTGGTTCCGGGTTTTGTCAGTCCTTATTATCCCATCGATCTAGCCCATTAACCTGGCAGCCTTATATCTGAGGCCCTCAAGTCTCTTCCATGTCCCTTCCGCCACTCTTCTTCATATTTGTAACTGTATTTTCCCTTGTCTCCTGCTCGTGGTGACTCCAGCTTGGCAATATTTTTAACCCTTCTCGACAGATCAGCCCCTTTTCCATATTCAACACTGAATTCCATATGGTATTTAAAAGCATGTTTCAAAGACCCTCCGAAATTAAGAGCCCCCACAATCCCAAACATCCCATGGCCCATTGTCAGATTTGAAAAGTCCAAACATCCCAACATAGGGGGGTCAATCCAGCCCCCCATTTCCAAGCCAAACCAAACTTTTTCTTTCCAAATCTGGCTTTTTCCAAGTTCATTTGTCAAGTCCGAAAGTTCATATTCCTGTTGGGCCTGTTCTGTCAGGACACACTCCTGATTTACTTCCTGAGTGGGATCCACATATTTTCCCACTGTCTGTTCAAAATTTCCCACTGCCTGTTCAAAATTTCTAGTCGAAGCCGCCATCCAATTCACCTTTTCATGTAATTGTTACGATAGGGCATTTGTTTTATAGAAAGCACACAACAAAGCTTCTGAATACATTGTCCTGCAAGGTCAAATGCCTGTTCCCACGATTGTTATCTTATAACAGCTGCCGGCTCCCTGGAGTTGGTTACAGTTACACAGTCTCCCTCTAGGGGGAAAACTTCTATTTGTTCTTGCAACAAAGTTTCCCTTTTTGAGATACTTTGTCAATATTTGTTACTTAAAGATGCGAAGGGAAGCAGTGGAATCGCTATGTTTCTCTCCTTTTAGCTATCTGTCAAAATGCTTGTCTCTGGTCAATGAACTTCAAACGTCAGTTCTGACACCCCGCTCCAGGATCAGGACGGAGGAAAGTTACTTTACTTTAAACTCACTTTAGTCAGTCCAGAAAAGATCCCCCTCCTTCTCCTGCTGTCGAAGGGAGGTTCCACAATTTTAAATGATGAAATCCAATCCTTTAAAGACGATTTTCTAAGCTCTAGTTTACGTTGTCTTTGCTTTATTCTGTCTACAGAAGACCGGGAGGCTGACTTCCTGTTTAGACCTTCCCGTTCCGTACCAAATTAAAATAGATTTTTAAAATCCAATTCCTTTCTACTCGCAAGTCCTTATCTAATGTCCAGTTGTTCAGAGTCTAAGTACTCACAGGTGCTTATTTTAGAGTCCAAATTGTCCCAGGAAAAAGGCAGCGCTCTCTGGCAACGGCTGTGCGGCTTCGCTCCACGAAAATAGCAATTGACTCACAGCACCGCGCCACTTCCCCTCTTCACTTCGGAGCCCGTTAGTGGGTTCCTTGGCAAGTTGGGGGGGCGCTAAAGGTGCCCGCCAGGTCCCATGGTCACAGGCTTCATCCGCCTGTGATTTTTAAAAGGGTCCCCACTTCGCCGTAGCGGAAAAGACCCGTTTCCCGCGGAGCTAGTCCCTCCTGTTCAGAGGGAGTCCGCCATTGCCGATGGCGCCACCCCAGAAGTAGTCCAGCAACATCTGGAGGGGTAAACATTCCTCACACCCGCTTATATCCGCAATGATGTGTTATATATTCATCTAATTATTGATGGAGCTCAGCTTCCTACCATCGTTCCTGCTCAGTAAATTAGATAAGTTTGCCTTCCATGGAGAACATCGTTTAACAGATTTATGTGTGGTTTCACTGGTAGGACAAGTTCAGAGCGGGATCCCCTCATTCTTCTTTCTCGAGAAAATCCAGACCTTGTTGACGCAGAGTACACGAAGAACCAAGCCTGGAAATCTGAAAAAGTAATTACAGCTCTTTCCTTTCTCTTAGAAAAGGGGTGTTCTGTTGTTTCAAAGTCTGGCTTCAGCAGGAAGAGAGCCCCTGTTTTTCAGGACATATTCATAAGATCACACACTGATATCCTCGAATAATGACCCCTCCGTGGTTCCATACTTGCCAACACTAGCACAGGTTAAGAACCTCACTTCAACAATAAGTATGAATTGAAAGGATGGGGGGAAATGTCTCCTGTTGACTACTTGTTAGTTCTCCTGAGAGCCCAGTGTAAAAGTGCCATTGGATATGTGAAAAGGAAAGGAAAAACTTAACTGTGGGAGATTATTCGCAAGTAGTGTCGTGTTTAAATTAGGTGCTGGGAACTACATTTATGGCAGTAAGACATTGGAGCATCATGCAGCCAGAGCCCTGGATTCATGTCGTGCTGATGGCACTTGTATTAAATCATGAAGCCTAATGTCACACACTTTTTCTGGGAGAGTGTGTGAAGGAGGATACATTGTCTTAAGGCACGGGTGGGGAATGTTTTTCAGACTGAGGGCCACATTTCCTTCTGGGAAACTTTCCAGGGGCCACATGTTAGGGCCAGAGGAAAAAGTAGGCAGAGGAAGAAATGTGACTGGACTTGCTCCTGCACACACTCACAATGTCTTCCCTATCCTCCATCCATCCAGGCAAGCAGGGTGTGGTGGTGGTGGGGAATTATGAAAGTTCAAGGACATTTCAGGCAGGGAAAAGAACTCAAGGAGGGTCCAGAGGAAGGCTGGTGAGGGGTGGAGCTTGGGAAGTGGGTGTGTGGCTGAGGAGGAAGTGTGAAATCCTAAGGGGTGACTAATCTTAAGCACTGCCTTAATTTATTGGTTGTGCCCCAGTAGCAGGGTTGCCATACGTCTGAAATTCTGGACATAGCCAGAATACTGCACTCAGAAGCAGCATCTGAGTAAAGCTCAACAACAACAACAATTTTATTATTTATACCCCGCCCATCTGGCTGGGTTTCCCCAGCCACTCTTCCAGCACAACTTTCCCAGCAGTGTCCAGATTTTCACTTTTTAAAATAGGGCAACCCTACCCAGTAGGAATGTGTCAGATATTCTGATTCTTTTTTGGTTGAGTGTCCCATAGCTTGTTGGCTGATTTGATTTTCATTGAGATGCTTGGTTTGGCATCTACCTTATGACAGAACTAATCATTCTCGTGCTCTGGTTTTATTTTGTGGCCTGCCAGTTGTGTCTCTCTGCCACCCTCTAGTTATGTTGTGACTGAGCGGCAGTTACATCTATAGGATGTAATTTGGAACTTCTCCACTTAAATATCTGCATTGCATTTCAAGGTGCAGAAGAGGAAATAACCAGGACTGTAGTGGAATTGTCACTTAGATGAAGGTGACGGTTTGCTGTGAACCTTAATGATCCAATGAGCTTATAACTGACCTACCCACTGCTCTGCATTGTGAGGAAACATTATGCAGTCCAACCTCTTTGTAAGGAACATGTGACAAGAGAACTTTGGACTGGCACTAAAAGAAGTATGAAGTTCCAGATATACACATGACAAGAAAAGAGAAACCACTGCTTTTTGCAATCTTAAAAAAAATAATAATAATATGTACCTTAAGCCTGTGCATGTTTATTTAGAAGTAAACCCAGGTGAGTTCAACAAGGCTTACTTCTAAGTAAACGTGTACAGGATTGCATCCTTAGAAATATTTGGACTATTACATTTTCTGTGATAGGTTCCAGGTTTATTTAGATTTCCTTAGGAACAGGGACTCTAATTTTGTGCCTTCTGAAAATAAATCTACCAGAGAAACTGTACTTGTGCTTATGGTGTTTCACTTTGGTTGTAGTCAGTAGGTAGATGATATATAACAACAATTTAAAATAAATATATATGTATCTATTGTTCCTAAAGGACACTCTTGGGAAACCACCAGCTAAGGAAATTGCACTAACAGACCACTGTAAATACAAGTAAGTAGCTGTGTCAGGCTGCAATTCTATACATAAATACGTCAGGAAAGTCCATTGAACGTAATAGAATTTACTTCTGAGTAGACATGCGCAGGATTGAACTGTCCGTCTAGAATTTATTGGGACTGTTTTCATCTATCTATCTTGTTTTATGTTAAAATAGATACTGGAAAAGTCTTTAGACCATAAAGATGTTCAATTAACCATTAGTTGCAAGACAAGGCATTTGCTCCTATCGTCATGCTGCTGCTATTGGCACCTTTTGCCTTACCCTGAATTGTTTCACAAGCAGGAATATATGCATTCTGTTTGTGCCTTGGAGAATTGCTTGTCCGCTCCACCCTTATGAAAACTTTCTGTCACACAGTTGTGTTAGTTATTGTAATTTAAGGAAGGCATTCAAGGAATCCCAAAGAACCACTATATCCCCTGGGTGCTACTAAGGATAATAAGTAGCTGATATGATTATACTCTGTGGAATATCAGCAGCTCTTCTGGTAAAGCAAACCGAAGGCACTCTCATCTCCGGTCCCTTGAGTATGTCTGTGAGATATGTCAGTGCCACATGCAGATGATGATCCTGCAATACTAGTGTGTTAAATGACTTCCCCGAGGTCTTTTGGGAAGAGCAGAATGGTGCCTGGAATAGAAATTATGGATTCTGGCATAGAGGTTTTTTTAAGCAGAGTAACTTCTGCATTTGTGTTTTGATGCTGCATCCTGCCATCTCCCTGACTTTTAAGGACAAAAACTTTGGCAACTAATGTTCAGGCACTGTTGTGTTTTTATCTAAAGTATTTTTTAGATAAATGTACTCTTGTAGACTATAGGAACTCACTATAAGGGCCAGGATTGAAACCAAAATGCAAGCCAACACCATAGATCACTATTTCCCAAGCTTAGGTCTCCAGCTTGTTTTTGGACTACAGTTCCCATCATCTCTATCTAGCAGGACCAGTGGCCAGCAACGATGGGAATTGTAGTCTAAAAAAACCCTGGAAACCCAAATTTGGGAAGCACTGCCATAGATGGAGCAACTGTGGTTACGGAAGTTTTGATTTGCCGTATTTGTCTTTCGATACTCTGTGGCAAGAGTCAAATGGCTTATGTTCTTCCCATATGACCCTTCTGTAAAGCAATTAATGTAGTGAATAACCAAGTTGAGGAAGAAAAGCCGTGCCCTTCTCATAGAACTATATGAAGGAGACCTAACAGATCTTCGGAGATAGGCAGCTTGCTGCCCTCCAGACATTGGACTACAATTCCCATCAACCCTGACCCCATTGGCCCCACTGGCTGGGGGTGATGGGAGTTGTAGTCCAACTATGTCTGGCAGGCACCTTGTTGGCTAACTTTGATGTAGTCCTGCTTGAACAATGATCAAATCTTTCAAGAGCATGCAAGCATTTATTAATTATTGTAAATTATTCAAGTTTGAATCTCTAGAAGAATAAAATTCACCTAAAGCTGCATAACCCAGTTTTGTTCAATGATTAAATAAATGCACTGGTTACTGGAGGAGAGGGAATATTATAAGATGGTGTCTGTTTTTATTATACAGATACCTGTTCAACTTCCGAGGTGTGGCTGCCAGTTTCCGCTTCAAGCATCTCTTTTTGTGCAACTCGCTGGTGTTTCACGTTGGGGAAGACTGGCTGGAGTTCTTCTACCCTCAGCTGAAACCTTGGGTTCACTACATCCCAGTCAAATCAGATCTCTCTGATGTCAGGTGAGAAGTTGAAACTGAAGCTGCAGTGGCATAATAACCGCTCCTTGCTTACTGAGGTAGAAACATCAATGTACCATGGGAGCTTCCAGACCAGCTGTTTGTTGAACATCCTTGCTGATACATTCACTTGGAGGTTATACAGCTTTGCCCACTTTGTTTCAGGGAGCTGCTGCAGTTTGTGAGAGAAAATGACGAGGTAGCCCAAGAAATTTCAAAGAGGTAAGTTTTCCTTATATGTAACCTTATATGTAGCTTCCGTGAGGCAATTATTCCCACTGCAGAGCACCAGCTGTTGTGATGACTGGCAGAGGTCATAATAGCTTTTGAAAGTAAAACTTGCAAAGGCTGAAGGGCAATGATATTCAGAACCCTTTTAAACAGTCAGTGAAATTCCATCCCAAATTCCTTCCTTCAGTATTAGTGTGGTATCATGTTCAGATATGTATCCTCCTAAGTCATACTTTGAGTTGACCTGTTGAAATCAGTGGACATGACTAACTTAAATTCAATGGTCTCTGACTTATGTATACAGGTCAACGCGCCCCAACAAAACGCTGATTGGGTATGTGCTCTCGTGCAATGAGGGGTGGGGAATATAAAAGGTAAAGGGACCCCTGACCATTAGGTCCAGTCATGACCAACTCTGGGGTTGCGGCGCTCATTGCTTTATTGGTCAAGGAAGCCGGCGTACAGCTTCCAGGTCATGTGGCCAGCATGACTGAGCCGCTTCTGGCGAACCAGAGCAGCACACGGAAACGCCGTTTACCTTCCCGCCGGAGCAGTACCTATTTATCTACTTGCACTTTGACGTGCTTTTGAACTGCTAGGTTGGCAGGAGCAGGGACCGAGCAACGGGAGCTCACCCCGTCATGGGGATTCGAACCGCCAACCTTCTGATTGGCAAGTCCTAGCTTTGTGGTTTAACCCACAGCGCCACCCGCGTCCCTCGTGGGGAATATACCTAACCTTCAAATAATTGTAAGGAATGTTCAGCATAAGGTTGGGCATTATTATGAGGGGAACAGAGGAGATTGTTTACTGTTTGTTGCTTTGGAAAAGAGGACCACTCCTGAAAGGGAAAGTTACTATGCAGATCAGTGGCTTTTAGTAGTTCTTGAATTAAAAAAAGCATTGACTTTTTGATGTAAAGGAAGAATGCACTCCCAGTTCTTCTCCCTTTTAGCCGTGGATGGAAGTTTCAAGACATGAGTTGAACATTCCTGTGCCTGATGTTGAGCCTGGGAAAGATGGGCATGGTTTGCCCACAAGGCCCTGGCAGGCCAATCTCTGAGACCTGGTGAGCATAGTTAATCCTGTGTGTCAAAGGTCTCCCACCACTGGGATCTTCAACATAATCAAGATGAAAATCCTGTGGCACCTTAAACACACAGAGATGTGCTGAGGTTAAGATCTGGGGGTTGAATGTACCTTCCAAATGTACAAAAATTGCCCATGAAAGCTTATCCCACAAAATGTTAATCTTTACCATGTCTTATAATTCCTTGCATTTGCTGCAAGTGACTGCTATGGTTTCTGTACTGTAGTTTCTCCCTACAAACATTATTGCTGTTCTCTTTAAAATCAAATTAACTATCATAACTTCATGCCCAAGGAAACCTGAGAGCTCTAGCTTAATGGGGCAGATAATTTTCTGTTAGCGATCCCTAGCCCTTCCCTCACTGCACTCCCGTTCCTTGAAGAGATGCACTGATTATTAAGCCAGTTTTCATCCTTAGTTCTTGAGGTATGAAAGCTACTAACTGTTGTCATCCTCTTTGCTTGTCTTTCTTGCCTCTAGAGGTCGCCAGTTCATCATGGACCACTTGCGAATGGAGGATATCTCTTGTTACTGGGAGAGACTTCTGACTGAATACTCCAAAACCCTAACTTACAAAGTTAAACGAAAGAGTCACTACAGTGAGATTTCATCCAGAAACTTGAAAACAGAACTGTAAAAATATTTTTTAAAACTGTTCCATTTCCAGTTCAGGACCAAGACTTGTGGACACTGTGAAATCCAAAGAGCAGAATGGTTTTCTTCAAGCTTAGAGGAAAGAAAGTGTTATTGTTACTTACTGTATTAAACTATTTTATCAAATCTGGAATTTTCTTTAATATCATGGAAAGTAGATTTTTCCAGAAGTGTTCAGATATGTGGGAGGCCAAAGTTCCACTGAATTCTACTATTGCTTTGTGGTGAAATCCTTTTGAAAAGGGAACTGATGTTCCATTATGTTTAACTGACTCACCATTTAGCACCAGATTAATCCTATGGAGTGGGCTGTAGTTTCTTACTGGTGAGTGAATCATTTCATGAATCATCATGGATGCAACATTTAATAATGTGATCTGTGTAGCGTTTGGACAATAGTTCTTTGCAAACTCCGAGTCTTTATTGTTGCAAAACATCAATGTGGTACACAGCAATATGAAAAACTTTTTAAAGCAATTCAAAATAATCATTAAAATGAATGATTACACAACCCTAAATAATAATAATAATAATAATAATAATAATAATAATAAATAATTTTATTTATATCCCGCCCTCCCCAGCCGAAGCCGGGCTCAGGGCGGCTAACAACAATCAAATAATCCAACATTCTAAAAACATTTCATTATAAAAATTAATTAAAATCAAATTGATGGCAACCGTTAAGCAAAATTCTGTGCAGATTGCCAGAGGAGGGAGTCAGGCTGCGCCCTGACCAAAGGCCTGGTGGAACAGCTCTGTCTTGCAGGCCCTGCGGAAAGATGTCAAGTCCCGCAGGGCCCTAGTCTCTTGTGACAGCGTTCCACCAGATTGGAGCCACAGCCGAAAAAGCCCTGGCTCTAGTTGAGGCCAGCCTAACCTCTCTGTGACCTGGGACCTTCAGGATGTTTTTATTTGCAGACCGTGGCTATTTCCTAGCCACTCTGGGCGGCTCCCAACAGAACACTAAAAACAGAATGCAGTGGCACCTCTGGTTACGAACTTAATTCGTTCTGGAGGTCTGTTCTTAACCTGAAACTGTTCTTAACCTTAGGTACCACTTTAGCTAATGGGGCCTCTCGCTGCCACCGCATGATTTCTGTTCTCATCCTGAGGCAAAGTTCTTAACCTGAGGTACTACATCCAGGTTAGTGGAGTCTGTAACCCAAAGTGTTTGTAATCCGAGGTACCACTGTAAAACTTCAAACACTAAAAACTTCCCTAGGCTAGGCTGAGAAATGCTGACCAACCCAGCTTTATGGAGTTCATGACTGAGTGAGGCAAAGCTAGACAGTATGTGGGAGATCTATGGTCAGAAACTCTCACTCCCCTGCTTTTCTTCTTATTACTAATTAACAGCCTGACGTAGCCCCTTTGAAGATTGGGGAAGTGATTCTAAAGAACGAGGTTTTACTGTTTTCCTGATCTGAACTACTTCCCCAAAGCTGCTATTAGCTAGAGAGAGGAAAAAGACTAGCACAGCTTCTTCCTTCGCTCTTGTTTGTGAAAAGCCACCTTGCCACTTCTATTCAAGGACTTATTTCCATGTCGCTGCAAAATCTGGGGAGGAATGAGAAAGCTTGCAGTGCTATGGAGCAAATGGCAGCCCTGCAAAAGATGGTAGTTAAGCCATTCCACATCCACATGGAAATAGCTTGAGAAGTGCACAGCCAAGTTGTGTGTCCCATCCCTCACATCTCAAATATAGCCTCTCCTGCCTTGATTTTCAGTCTGAGTTTCTGGCAAATGATCTCATAGTTCACTTTGCATAAATCAACAGTGTCTGTTCAGCGGTAGTGTACTGGCAAATTCAGAAGTGCAGGGTCCCTTCATGATAGTGTGGTATAGTGGTTAAGAGTGCTGAACTAGTGCTGGGGAGACCTAGGTTCAAATCCCCACTCAGCTATGAAGCTCACCTTTTTATTTAACTTTTTCTAAAAAAGTGTACCATCCTTCATCTGGAGATCTCAGGGTGGTTCACAATATTAAAATACAAAATACATAATAAAAACAAGAAAAAACCCACAAACCAATAACTGTCCCCCTCCCCACATCCTCCTATAAACACATTAAAAATGTTAATCAGCCAAAGGCCTGATTGAAGAGAAATGTTTTTGCCTGGTGCCTAGAGGTGTATAATGAAGGCGCCAGCCAAACCTCCCTAGGGAGAACATTCCACAAACAGGGAGCCACCTCCGAAAAGGCCTGTTCCTGAGTTGCTGTTGTTGTGACGTGGGGTTTGTGATTTCAGCTCTCCTGATATAACATGCTGGAGACAGTTCTCTAGTAACACTTCTTTATTAAAGCAACAAGACTGAAGACTGGGGAGAGGAAAGCTACATTTATAGGGACAGGGAACTAGCAAGAAAGGATACATTTTGGAGGGAACAATATCAGGCAATCACAGTCCTGCCTTTTGGAGGGAACCAATAAGACAGAGGATCCAAATACAGCAGCTTAAATGAACCAATAGTAGCTGTACCCTCTGGAACCAAAAGGCAGTTACTTTACCCTAATGCAAATACAGACAATAATAATACAGATATAAAATCCTTTGACTCAATACACAACACCCCTTCCCCCCTAGTGAGCACAGCAGACGTAATCTCTCAGGTACTGTGGGGGCCTACAACTTCTACTTGATCTCCTGACAACAGGTGTTGCAGGTTCTGGATTGGGTGTTACCTGTGGTAGAGGGGCTGCTCTAGGGGTTTCGTCAGGAACAGATGGAGTCCCCGACATCTCAGGGTCCCCTATCTGTACCTCGTCATCGTGAGGACTAGCAGACCCTGGTTCATTTGTTAAAGCCCCTGGTGATTGCACCTCTGGGCCATTTTCACTCTGGTCTTGCGGCTCTGCGTCGTTAGCCTGGGATGAATTATCTGGCTCCTCCCTGCTGAGCGCCCGGCGCCTCAGCTGATCTATATGTCTCTTCCACACTTGCCCATTTTCCAAGGTCACATAATAGGACACAGGTCCACTAGCCCGGGTGACCACACCAGCCACCCACCGCGAACCTCGTGAATAGTTCCTCACCCAGACCAGATCTTCAGGGGCGAGATACCTTGTTGTGTCAGTCTCAGCCTGGGGGGTTGCTCTTGAATTATGGTTTGGCATTTTATCCGGGTGGACATAATCCAGCACCGTTACCAGTCTCCTACCCAAGAGCAGCTCAGCTGGCGACTTGCCCGTTGCGGTACACGGCGTCGCATGCTGCAAAAATAACATTCGCGCGATGCGAGCTGACCAGTTACCCTCCATTAAGCGCGCAATGGATTCTTTGGCTGTTCTTACCATGCGCTCAGCCTGCCCATTGGAGGATGGGTGAAAGGGCGCGGATGTGACCCCTCTTATGAAGTTATCAGCCAAGAATGCCCTGAATTCTTGGGATACAAAAGCTGCCCCATTATCTGATACAATGGTCTCAGGTAACCCGTGGGTTGCAAACAGCTGCCTCAACACCTTGATGACGGCAGCTGATGCCATGCTAGGGACCATCGCCACTTCTAACCATTTGGAATATGCATCAACGATAACCAAAAAGACCTTTCCTTGGAATGGCCCAGCAAAATCTAAGTGCAGCCGGCTCCAGGGAGATCTGGACTGCTCCCACCAGTGGACTGGTGCTCTGGCCACTTCTGGCCGCACCTCTTGGCATGCCTTGCATGTTCGTACCCATTGTTCTATGTTCTGGTCCATTCCAGGCCACCACACATAACATCGGGCTAGCGACTTCATCCTGACCATTCCCGGGTGTCCCATGTGAAGCGTCTCAAGAACCCTGTTTCTCAGTGGTGCTGGGATGATGACCCTATCTCCCCACAGGAGACAACCCTTATGCATGGACAACTCGTGCTGCCTAGTCGCATAAGGCCTGAATTTGTCTTCATGCGGACCACCTGGCCACCCCCTCCCCACCCAAGTGAGCACACGGGAGAGAACAGCATCTTTCCTCGTTTTCTCAGCTATATCAGTAGCCGTTACAGGAGCCCCGGAAGTGTTTCCAGCATCATTATGTGCTCCGCTGGAGCAGGATCCTCAGTGCTCCCGCCAGGAAGGGGCAATCGACTCAGCGCATCCGCGTGGCACAACCGTTTCCCCGGCACATGGGTCAAGGTGTACTGGAACCCGTTCAGGAATATAGACCAACGTAACATTCTGGGGGAGAGAATTTGTGGCGTTTGTTTGTTCGGGTTGAACAACCTAACAGTGGCTTGTGGTCCGTTTCAATGTAGAAATGGCGACCGTACACATAATCATGGAACTTTTTGATTCCTGCCACAATTGCAAGCGCCTCTTTGTCAATTTGAGCATAGTTGCGCTCCGTGGGCGACAACGTACGGGAATAGAAAGAGATGGGCTTTTCCGACCCATCCGGTTCCCTATGACTTAGCACCGCCCCCAGGCCGTATTGAGAGGCATCACATGCCAGGACCAGAGGCTTTGACTCGTCATAATGAGCAAGGACACTCCTGCTACTCAGCATTCCTCGCAAGGAGTCAAAAGCCTTCTGCTGCCCCTGCCCCCATCGCCACACAGTCTTTTTCTGCAACAGTCTATGTAATGGTTCAGCTACCGAAGCTTTCTGGGGTAAGAACGAATGATAAAAGTTAATAAGTCCCAGGAATGACTGCAACTCCGTCTTGTTCTGTGGTCGTGGCGCCTCGATGATGGCCTTAATCTTAGCATCTGTGGGGTGGATGCCTGATGCATCAATTTTAAACCCCAAGAAATCCACAGTTGGCACCCCAAAACTGCATTTTTCCTTTTCCAGTTGCAACCCCACCTCCTTGAACTTGAGCAACACTGCACGAACACGCGCAACCAGTTCCTGTGGGTCTTTTCCAGCAATCAAAACGTCATCAAAAAATGGCAAGACCCCCGGCAGACCTCTTAACAGGTGTTCCATGAGCCCTTGAAAAATCCCTGGGGCCACACAAACTCCAAATTGTAATCTGTTAACTCTGAACGCCCCTTTATGTGTGACAATAGTCTGTGCTTCCGCTGATTGTGGGGTTACTGGCAGCTGTTGGTAAGCTTGTGCCAGGTCAATTTTGGCGAACACCTTGCCCCCAGCCAGTTTAGCCAACAGATGTGATACGACTGGAATGGGGTATGAGTTTCCCCTGAGTGCCTTATTGATAGTACATTTGTAATCTGCACAGATCCTGACTTCCCCATTTGCTTTAAGGGCGTGACGATTGGAGTCTCCCACTTAGCAGAGTCCACGGGTGAGAGAACTCCCTGCTTGACCAATTTATCCAGCTCTGCTTCGATCTTGGGTTGCAGTGCAAATGGCACTCGCCTTGGTTTGAGTCGGATTGGGGCCACCCCAGGGTCCAACTCGAAGTCAACTGGGGGCCCTTTATAACAACCCAGTTTTCCATTAAAGAGACCAGCAAATTCTTTGCATAATGCCTCGCTCATCTCAGGGCAGGTTTGGATTGAATTAAGCCCTGATATACTCAGTCCCAGGGCGGGGAACCAGTCAGTGCCCAGGAGACTGGGGCGACTGCCCTTCGCAATCACCAGTTTGAGTACAGCCTGTTTGTCCCGGAACTGTACTCTCACGGCACACATTCCCATAACATGGATGCGGCCCGCTGAGTATGACTGCAAGGTTGCCGGGAAGGGTTCCAGAGGGGCCAACTTACCCCTGGGGAAGAATGTCCTCGCGGTCTGGTCCGACACGATAGTGAATCCAGATCCGGAGTCCACCTCCATGTCGCACTGCTGACCCTCAATCTTCACCTTGACGTGTGCCTTGCCTTGTGCTGGGAACTGCACGACCCTCCCATTGATCTCCGTAACGTAGTGGCAGTCCTTTAGAAAATGGGTTGCTGCGGGCGGTCTGCGATGCTCCGGTCTAGGTGCTCCTGTCGCTCCCAACGCCGCCGATCTACAGACTCTGGCGATGTGACCTGTCTTCCCGCACGTCCGGCACATAGCATCCCGGAAACGACAACTCTTCCGCTCATGGTTTCCGCCACAACCTGGGCACCTGCCTCGGTGATCTTTGTGCACTGTGCAGGCCTGACTCACTGACTCGACCCCACGGACTGGGCTCTGGCTCGGAGTAGCCTCTAGCTCGTCCATGGCATGCGCAACTTCTATCTGTGGCTTAGGGGCCTTGCGACTGGCATCAAGCTCCTCTCTTTCATAATTCTCCGTGGCGGTGGCCTCCTTCAAGGCTGAAGCAAGGGTAACCTCTTCTTTAGCCACGATGCGTCTTCTGGCCTTCTTGCTGCTCAGACCACCGATAAACCGATCCAGGAGAGTCTCTTCCAGATTTTGGAAGTCGCAGTGCTGAGCGAGCTTCCGCAGTTCAGCCAGAAATGCAGATACAGACTCCCCAGCATGCTGCTGCCTCTTATGAAACTCCATCCGCCGAGCCATCTTGGTCTCAGTAGGCGCCAAGTGGCTTGTTAGGCAGGCAAGAATATCTTTGAGAGATGTCTCACTTAGCTTCGCTGGAGCAAGCAATGCCTTGGCCAGCTTGAAGGTCTCAGGCCCACAGTAGCTCAGGAATGTGGCCCTTCTTTTGCTGGCATCGGTGATCCCTTGAGCCTCTGCGAAGAACTCGAAGCGTTCGACGTAGTCTTCCCACGTGTCGGGCTCTGATGGCTGGAAGGGCTCCAATACCCTTGGACTCTCCATTGTCCTGTGGCAGGGTCGTCTTCTCAGCTGGCCAGTGAGTCTTGTTCTTAGCTGCAATCCGGACTCTGAGGCAGGGCTGCGTTTAACCGCTCCTCAGCATTCCGGATCCCACCTTCGTCGCCAGTTGTTGTGACGTGGGGTTTGTGATTTCAGCTCTCCTGATATAACATGCTGGAGACAGTTCTCTAGTAACACTTCTTTATTAAAGCAACAAGACTGAAGACTGGGGAGAGTAAAGCTACATTTATAGGGACAGGGAACTAGCAAGAAAGGATACATTTTGGAGGGAACAATATCAGGCAATCACAGTCCTGCCTTTTGGAGGGAACCAATAAGACAGAGGATCCAAATACAGCAGCTTAAATGAACCAATAGTAGCTGTACCCTCTGGAACCAAAAGGCAGTTACTTTACCCTAATGCAAATACAGACAATAATAATACAGATATAAAATCCTTTGACTCAATACACAACAGCTGTGCTCTGAACCTTTCATGGAGGAGGCACACAAAGAAGGGCCTTAGATGGTAATCACAGGATCTGGGTAGGTTCATATGTAGAGAAGTAGTCCTTAAGGTGTTTTGGTCCTGGCCTTGGGCCTAATGTATTTCACAGGGCTGAAATAAATAGTCACAGCCATGTTCCTATACAGCCTAAGATTATACAGTATGCAATATACAATAATTACACAATAATCTTATACGTGCTGCAGAAATAGTAACAGGTTTTTGATCCTCTGCAACCCTGGATCACTGCTATACAGGCCTGTACTCACTGGGAGGCGGTGAGAGAAAATTTCATATGCCGCAGAATGCTATATTAATTACTGGTTGTGTCTCCTGAGTATGGCGTGTGTGTATTGTAGATATTGGAAACTGGTGCTGCATAGTATTCCTCATTACCTTCCTCACTGAGCTTATAGATGGGGAAGAAGAAAAAACAGCATGACACTAAAACAAATTTGCAGATGCTGCGTAAGGAAGAGGGACCAATACCAGACATGGAAGAATTACCGGTAACTCAGGAAATCAAACTATGTGGCATTATTGTGCTGGATAGGAAAGAGGAGGTAGAATGTTAAAAAATGAGACAAAACCCTAAATTTATCTTCAGTGAAGGGAATTAATCTGGTATGTTCTAAAACTCATCTTTAAATGATCTTTTGGATTAAAAAAGAAAAACCTGCTTTGATGGCTGAATTAATACTGAAATTCGATTTTTTTTTTAAAGCACTGTGACAACAAAGAACCTGGGCAATCGACAGATGTTCTGCCCTACATGATATAACAAGCAATGAACTACTTGTATTTTGTTTCTGTCACAAATGTGTTTTAGGCTGGTGAGAAAGGTTATAAACTTAAGGATATACTTTACTGCTCTGTTCCAATTATTGCAATTTGCCCATTGGCTAGTTATATGTTGGGAAGCTCAGGCAGGAGGCTTTTCTTGTTTTCTTTTCCATTCAGGATAAGAGCATGAAAGATTGACTTTGCTCAATGATGAAAACTACGGTAACTTTAAGTACAACTGCTGCTGACAGTGGGTATCACTGGACATGATGGAACTTCTTTTTGATCAAACGTGCATAGGACTGCATCACATATTTACCCTTAGTACAGTTAAAAGAACCTTGCTTTAAGTTCCTCAACAGAATTTGGAGCAAGTTTGCACTGTAGTCTCCAGTAGCAGTGCTTTTTAAATATAGCTGGAAGCGTTAAATCTTACTAGCTTTGCCTTGATAGGCTTCGTCAGAGGGGAGGAATACATACAGCAGTGGACGTATATCGTTCCGCTTTTTCTAAAAAAAAGCCAGAGCAAATAAGTCGTCTGCAAAAATAGACAGGGCTCTTGAGCCTCAACAGCCGTGCAAAAAAGGGAATTTCCGCTTGTCGTGCCCCAATATTAATATCTTGCCACCACGCTCTTTTTAAAACCCCAAATCCTTTCCACTCCATCGACAATAGGGGCAGAGGAGGTGGAACAGAGTATGCACGGCGTTTCCTGCAAAGCAGCTTGGTCAGGATTGCGCACGCGCAGTGGCGGGAATCCAACACCTCCCTCCCCCGAGCTCGCGCCGCCTCCCGCTTCGCAGAACCCACGGGCCGAAGGGCGGGTGAACAGAAATGCTTCCCAGCCGGGGAGTTGCCTGCGCTGCGTCCTCCAAGGCGCCAGGGCGGCGCGCTCCTCCTTGGCCCACTTCCGGCACAGCTGAGTCCTCGAGGGAAGGTCCTGGGAAGCGGCTTCTGGGGCAGAGCGCTCGGCTGTTTGGCGATGGAGCCGCCGCTGGCGCCGCCGCAGGGACCGGTCCGAGTCTCGGCTGCCTCTTCTCCCGCGCTGGCCGCGGGGCAGCCCAGGGTTTTGAGTAGGCCGGAGCCGCCGGGCTCGGGCTCGGGCTGGGAGCGGGTCCGGGAGCTCTTCCGGCGAGAGTAAGCCCGAGGGTTTTGTTTTGCGAGAATGCGAGGGTCGCCCGGGAAGCGGCAGGCGCCCCCGTCTCCTTGCAGCCAGGCGGGGCGGGCGCGGGGCTGGCAGTGGACGCGAAGGCAAAAGCTCTAGCCCACTCGCGTGCCGAGTTGTGTTGTCTCGAGCGTCACGCGGGCACTTTCAGCCTCTGTTGATAATGTGGCTTCATTTAACGCTGGCGTTGCATGGTGGGGGGTTCGGGATTTCTGAAACGTGAAGGGGGCTTTTTATGTCCTGAAGAGTTGAGTTCTCATCGAAGCATTTTCTCCCGCAGCGAGCTAAATCGGTATCCTGAAGAAACGGTCAATATCATCAAAGCAACGTTTTGCGGGGGCATTGTCGGCATGGTCTATGGCGGGGTACCCGGTTTTATAAACGCCAAGAGACGGTACATTGAGCAGAGCCAAGGAGAGGTTTTCCACAATCGCTTGGATGCTGCGGTACGGACAGATTCCTGTCTTGGTAGAGCACACATCAAATCAGTCTTCTCAAGAATGCCGTTACACACATCTCCTTAAGTGAGCACACTAGGAGTGCTATGGACACTTGCCACTTTCACTTCAAAAAGGTGGTTGTAGAGCTTGGGAAGGGCAACCAAAACTATCAAGAAGCTGGGGCAACTCACCTGAGAGAAATGTTATGATGTTATGGGCTTTTTAGTTTAGAGAAAGTGCAGGGCGTGATAAAGGTGTGTACTTGGTATGGAAAAACTGATTACAGTAGATACAATTTTTTCCCTTTTCATATAATGCTAGAACCTGTGATCATCTGATCAAGCTGAATGCTGGAATATTTAGGGCAAAAGGAAGTGCTCCTTCACACACCACATAGTTGTGTTTTTTTAATATTTTATTAAGGATTTTCTTGTTTTACAGAAGTAAGTGTAATGCCTCGTATTATTTTTCCCCCCCATGTAACATTTTTACAAATCCGTTTCATTTGTTGAGGCATTAGGGGGAGAAGAAAAAAAGGAAAAAAGAACGGGGGGGTGGAGAGAGGGAAGATGGATGGGGGTGGGGTCGGGTGGCGGTGTTTCTATTATGTTTAATGTATATAGAGTTTGGTGTCAGCGTTGCTTGTGTTGTTCACTTGTGTTCCTTTCAATATGGCTAACACACACCACATAGTTAAGGATGGGATTTTCTGCCATAAGATGTAGTAGTAGCTGCCAGGTTATGTGGCTTTACAAGGGGATTATTCATCAATAATAAAGCTGTCGATGGCTACTAGTCATGGCTGCATACTGCCTCCAGTGAGTTGGTGTACCTGTGAATAGCAGGAACATACTGTGGAACATGTGGGAATGTGCCCTTGTGCTTATGTTCTGCCTGCGGGCTTTCCATAAAGATTGGGTTGGCCACTGTGACAACAAGAAACTGGACTTCATGGGGCTAGAATGAGGATCACAGCCAGCATTTCCATATTGCCTGGGTTATAGTCTGGATAATATCACTGAAGGCAACTAAAATGTTTAGTTCTGAGATGAGCACTAAAAAATCCAGAAATAAAAAAGCAGGTTATGTGCATGTACAAATGAGCTGAGTGGTCCATAGTTTTGTCAACAGTAAAGCCTGCTGAATTGTTTCTGGTGCAAGGGTCTAGTCCAGAATCCAGACTATAAAGGCGCAGGTGGGGATGTGCATGCAGAAGCAAAATAAATAACTAAATTGTGTGAAATGGAAGATACTGGACTTCTTTGATTCTTTCTGCTTCTAAACAAATATTTTAGCCCCTATATAAGATACCTTACTAGTAGGCCTCCTTTTCTCATTAACCTCAGGAATGGTACATATAAAATGTCATTTGGGGTGTAATAAAAATTGGTAGTGTGGCCTGACAATGTCTTTAAACTTTTGTAACTTTCTTGATAGCGAACTGCACATCGTGCAGCAAGCAGGGGCTTCATCCGTTACGGTTGGCGTTGGGGCTGGAGAGTTGCTGCCTTTGTGGCAATATTCAAGTGAGTATGCTTATTCTTGGTTGGATGAGGCAGTTTATGCACAAAAACTGTTCTAAAATGTTACCATTGTCATATCTGTGAGCAGTTAAGTTGCAAGATGAGACAGTTTAAATAGAACCTCTCCTTGTGTCCTTTCCTTCTGACCATCATCACCATCAGATGGTGTAGAGTCTTGTAAAAACAGCTTATCTACCCCCAGCCAATCATTGGGACTTGCATAAGGCAAACCAACCATTTCTGTTCTATCAAAAAAAGCTATGTTGGCATATTGAGAGCTGTGGTTGCTTCTCCTCAGAAGGTCTATAGTCATTCCGTAACATCATAGCAGACCAGCTAATAAGAACTCTCAGGCGACTGGTGAAAAACTGTCTATTTTTCTATCTGGGGTGGGGCCAGGGTCTGACTGCGGTGCTCTGGGCCTACATTCAACCCTTATGACCCCCCTCAGACCATAATCCCTCCCAAGCTTTTTCCTTGGTTGGAATGTATGAATGCTTCCTGGACAGAGAATGGGAGAGGGTATGTAGAGAAAGCTTGCATGTATGGAATGTAGCCTATTAGTGTCCTGTTAGTCATTGTGTATTTTTAAGCTGTAATGACTGTTTTATATAAGATCCAGGGATAGGCTTTATTTTACTTATTTTTTTAGTCTGTCATTTATAATTAAAACTCCTATTATTTAAAACTCTTACCTCAGGTAATTGCAATTGTCCTTGAACTTGAAATGGCATACTGTACTCAGTATCCAAATTACAGTCTGCTTTGTACATTATTTTTTTCTCTAGTTTCCATTAGTAGAAAAAAACATGCATGCTATCACTTGTGAAGTATGTGTTTCACATTTTGCCATAAATATATGGATTGGGAAGTGTATATTTTTCCTGTGTGTTGTATGTAAACTTTGTCCTGTGTAGAAAAGGTTACATGTGAAATGATTCTAAATATTCACCGTATCGTCTAAAATGGGAAGAGTTAGCAAAATTTTTAGTCAAGAACTACAGGCCACTGTTTGGACCACCAGAAATAAAAGTCTTTTTCTTTCATTGGGCAGTTTTCCTTATTAATCCTTGTTTTTCTCACAGCACAGTGAGCACTGCTATGTCTGCATACCGTGATAAAAACGCCCTCAGTCACTTTGCCGTTGCAGGAGGTGAGGCGATGATATTTGAATGTTCTGTTTTGAATGAGGCAGAAAAGTTAATTAGAGAAAATTAGTTTCAGAGCTCAAGAGTCCTGCTTCTTGGTCTATTAATCTTCACTTTTTGACCCCGATCAAATTCAAAAATACGTTTTGTTACTTAAAATGATTTTTTTTAAACCAGGCAGATCTTTGGGATTGGCATTTCTGTCCTGCTGATTTCAGGAAAACTCATTTCCAAATGTGTATGCTTATGATGACAGCATTAATATTGTGCAAGCTATAGTGGTTCTTTGGTGAAAGGTTCTTAAAGGATTATAATATTAGAGGATTAGTAAATAATTTAGGCTACAATTCTATTCCCAGTTACTTGGTAGTAACTTCCCCTCAAGGGGACTTACTTCTGAGTAGATATGTAAAGGATTGTGCTGTCAGTCATGTTAAATATGAATGGAGAATTGAGAAGCCAGCAAAGGAGAGGCATCTTCTCAGTTTCTCTTTCATTGTCAGATTTTGCTACTAAATTAATCTTATATTGAGAGAAGCCATTTTTTGCTAGCTCTGAAAAGTGCTATAAGTGGATACTAATTTGTATTTTTGTACATGCAGAAATTAAATCTTATAATTAAAAACACTTAAAAGAGAAACTTAATCCCTGCCCTAATTTTTCTGTCAGAGTAAGCTGTCTGCTGTGAAACTGCTATAGTCCTCTGACATAAAAATGGCCCTATTGAACCGACACATCCATATTTTTAAATATATATAATAACTGAAAAAAATCTAAAGGAAACAGTTCACCATATCCTGCTTTGTAATCTCCTTTGGTTTCAGCTGAGTTTGTACTGAGTCCTACATAAACCTCGCTGAAATTATTGGAGGCTGCACCCTTTTAAAGGTACATTGTCAACCTCTTGCAGATTCCACTTGGCATCTTGTCCGTCTGTTTTTTAGCAGACCCATTTTTGTAAAGCTATCATGACAACATGAAAGGACAATCTAATTCTCTTCCTAGATATCTTTGGTCAGTACGTAAGAAAATAATTATGTGGGAGAGGTCTTTGTTTTATTAACATCTTTTCTCTTTTGTGAAAGCCCCAGAGCTGACCCGTTTTAATGCATTTCTGCATATTATTGAAACTAGTAGTTTATGACTTGTCAGCATTCCCAGCTTCTGGCTCCACAAATGGAATTAGGAATTCTTCTAATTCATAAGGGAGCATCACATTACCCACACACTGCATGGATGAAGGCAGCAGCTCCTGCTGGTTGCATATACCTAGAAAGAAGTACCAACTTTCCTTTCACAAATGGGAGCCATAACAGTTCTAACTTGAATGTGCTGTTGGCCACAGCTGCTTATGCCTGACAAATGACTGGTAGATTATTTCCCCCATAGATGGTAATTGGTATGATTCCTTACAGCACTCAGCTATTGTAATTTGGTACCTCTTTACGCTGGTCCTTGACACTTGAGATGTACATTTTTAGGATCCTTTATTGTAACTTGTTTTAATTGGGTTTTCATGTTGCATTTAAAATTGTTGTGAGCTACCCTGGGACGTTAGAATGAAGTGTGGGCAATAAATCAATGAATAATGATAATAAGCATAAGCAAAAACCTATAAAATCAGTTGAAACTTTGAAGACAGACTGGTTTCTAAGTTGTGCTGACAACATAGACTTCTCATATTGTGTTCTAAAATGAAATAGACATTACAGTTGCCGCAGCATACACTTTTAAGTGCGGATGTAACAAACACGTGCACAAGTTTTTTAAGATATGCGTACAGTGCCTGTACATATTTGCTGTGGGAAATACTGATGCCCCCCCCCAAATTATAATATTTGGAGCTGCCCGTAGCTGAATCTTTAGCGTGGAGTCCTGGAGCAGAGTCTAGTTTTACAGGGCAGGACAGGACAGGAAAAGGGAAGGCAGAAGGAATGATAAAAAAGCTTTTTCATTGTAGCTGAGACTTCTTGCAAATCTCTTGTGTGTGGTCTGATTCTATTATTTTTCTTATTTCTAGGTTGTACAGGAGCCTTGTTCAGAATGCACTTGGGCTTGAGAGGTTTGGTTGGCGGGAGCCTTTTTGGGACGTTGTTGGGGTAGGTTGCTCATAGATGTACAGTACATGTACACACAGATGCACTAGGAACCAGAATTGCTTCCTTTTGTTGGGTGTGATAGTCTGCAGGTGTCATTACAAGGCAGTTTTTGAATCTTGACAGGATTTCCTGCAAACTTCCTTTTAGCCTTAGACCTCGTCTGTTTTCTCTCTTACTGCAGAAGGTGGCTATTTTTCTTCCAATTTCCCACTTAGTTTTTCTGCATTCTTCTTAAACAGAAATTGATTTTTATTTGCCTGTCTACTAATGTTTAAATGGGCAGAGGTGCTGATTTTAAAAAAAACACCACACAAATTTATTGATTGCTGTGGTGGGTCAATTGTTAATTTGGAGGATCCATTTTCCTTTTGTTCTCAGTCAGCTTTTTCAGCCCATCATTTCTTTTCATTTCTTTTCTCCTTGGAGGTGGGTGGGAGTAAATGTTTAGTAGACATAGGGTCAACATTTAGGGAATCAGTTTAATGGAGAAGACTGTGAAAGACCCACACAGAATTATGTTTTCTAATTATAAGAACAAAACAATAACAGTTAAGAATGATGGATTCCCTTTCCAGATTTGGGACACTTTTCTTCACCTCTACTACATCAATAGTTTTGATGTGTGTTGCATGCTGGGTATGGGCAGTAATGTTTAATTTAAAAAAGACTAAAGGAAGATGGAATGTTCTCTGTTTGTGGTTGACAGTAGAATTGAGCTCCTATTTTGCAACTGCTTTAAAAAAAGGCTTCAATCAATCTTTATTGTGGTCAAAGACCAGACAGCAGAATTCACAACAGCCACATATACTATAGCTTTAAAAAAGAAAATGGATGAATAGGAGAAGGCACAGATGCAACTACTGGCAGAGTGACTGGTCCCCCATTGTTTATAAGTAATAAAGTTCTCCATATAGCTAAATGTACTTCCTGTGTACTTGCAGTGTACCTGCTGGAGCATTACTGATGTCAATGCAAAAATTTGCTGGCGAATCCTTGATCGAGAGAAGAAAACGAGAGCAATGGGAGCTGTATGAACAGAAGCTGGCAGAATGGTAAGGAACCAGTGCTGTTCGGTTTTAATTATTAACTCTGCTACTGAGCCAGGGTGGATCTGCTCTTCATCTAGGACTGCTACACAATGATTTTAGCCATCTTCCACTAGTGATGTGATATGATGCTCTTAACACTGACCATCAGTCATCTTTTGCTCGTTTTGAATTTTCAACTTTTGCATTTTCTGGAGCTTTTGCTGATATGGAATTGGTAGTTCCATAAAAATCCACATACTGTTGTTGTAATGGGCCCGTGGCTTGATTTTAGCATTATTTGTAGAATCCTCTTAAAATCTATGGCAATTGACAAATGGCACACTAGCAACCATGGCATTTTCTGGGTATCTTGTGATTTCAAGGGTGGGCTATAGCCATTTTTCTAGCCACCCAGTCCTATTTCCTAAAGTGGCTAACAATATAGGTAATTTTAAACAATGAAGGAGCATAGGAGTACTGTATTTCTTCCAGATGTTTTGGACTACAACACCCATCAGCCTGAGGTAGCATTGCCTAATGGTCAGGGATGATGGGAGCAATAATCCAGCAATATCTGGAGTGCCCTAGATTGGAGCAGACTGTTCTAGCACCAAGTTAATAATGTTTTATGGAGCATTCTAATTTTTAAAAAAGCTTAATTCACTCCCACTTGGTTGTAGTATTTCATGTAGTATTTCCCAGGCCCTTCCTTACATAGTTTCTGTATTAGTTTTCTCCCCTCTTACACTGGTTTTAAAGTTATAACCTCCTGAATAAAAATACACGAGGGGAAGAACATTTTACAATTATGAACAGCCTTCTAGAGCTGTTTCCAGATGAAAATTTTATCCTATAGTTTTAATATATTTCCCATATATTCAGTGTCCAGTTTGTTCATTCACTTTTCTGTGTGAACTGATCAGTTTGTCCTATGCTAACTGCAGGCATGTGGGCGATGGCAGATACAGTGTAGGTGAAAAAGCCCTTTACAGCACGTCATTGAGCCCTATTGAAAGTGTTTCCAGGATATATGAAGGGGAGAGAGGATTGTCTATAAGCAAAAAATAGTTGTCATGTGGAGGATTGTGTGAAGGAATAGTTTCTGTTTGAAACAATTCGTTGTAGACAGTTAATGATTTGTCAGTGGTAAATGGATTGACTTCAGCCTACAATGTTTGTTTGTTTTTAAAAATACATTTTTATTAAAGGTTTCTTAGTGTACAAAACCACGTGCGTTATCTCTTTTTTCAAGTTGTGTTTTCTACAATTTGGTTTCATTTGTTGTGAGACATTAGTGTTACATACAATGTTAGGTTAGGAAGAAAAGAGGGGAAATGGTGAGTGTGGTGGGGTGATTACGTTTCTATTCTTCTACTTAGTGTATGTGTGGGGTTTTGGGTCAGCGTCACTTGTCTGGGTTCTCTTACTATTCGCTCGTTGCGTTTCCTTGGTGGGGAGAGAAGTTGGGGTTGGCCTAGAGTGTGGTTGGTTGTCTTTGGGTGGCTGTAGTGAGATGTGTGTGTGTGTGTGTGTGTGTGTGTGTGTGTGTGTGTATTTGTGAATCAGGTTAGCCAGATTGATTCGTATGCTGTTGGTGGATTCTTGTCATTGTCTTGTTGGGCTGTGTATGTGATAAAGGGGAGCCATACTGGGGTGAAGGCATCTTCTTCCATTTGTCCCTTTTCAGTTTCAGTTTATTGGTTAGTTTTTCTAATAAGTTTCAGCCTCCAATGTTAATGGTGATATAAGCATATGAGGTGCAGTTTTGTTTTCCTCTCAGAAGTACAACCATGTTCTTTTTTCTTTTTCTTTTTAGGAGGACCAGGCTCAGCATCACTGAAAACATCTCAAAGGAAATGGATGATGTACTTCAGGAAGGAGCTTCTCCCAGATCATGAGTGAAAACAAATGTTCTTAGTATTGCACACTGGAACTCTTAACAAGTGGTGTTAAAAGTTTTTCTTGTGGCCTGTTGCTCAGTACACAATGGACTCTCTTGAAGAGCTCCTAGGTAAACCAGGAACATGGAAAGTTCAGCTTCAGGTGATGACTAGCTACCTCTTTAGTTGGGAGAGGAATAAGCTTGAATTACTTCTCTGGATAGAGAAAGTACAAAATTCACTTTTTGGGGATATGCTCTAAGGGATAACATGGGTGTATTCCGAAGGTTTCCAGGGTAAGTTGATGGGTTGAACGGTGGAGTAAATCTAAAACAATAAAGAAAAATAATAATTATTTTGAATGTTCATGTTCATTGCTGTATGAATTCTTGGGTTTGGTGCCACTCCTCTTTTGAATGCAGCACTATAAATCTTAACTTATCTTTGACCTTACTACGTACCAGGAGACATAGGTCCTGGGGGGAGAGCTAGGGCTCCCCCAATATTTCTGAATAAAGCGCTGCCCCCCAAGCTCTGCAGCAGCCATGTGTGCATGCTCATGTCACGTGTGCAAGCTGTAGGGCTTCCACACAACCCGTCAGCAAAAAATGTTCTGCCATTACAATATAAAACAGCATTGACTAGCTTTGGTATGTTTCACTTGGAAGGAGTTCCCTTGGAATAAATGAGAAAATAATGGTGATATTGCAGTTTCCTGCCTCCCTGCCCCTGATGTTCCATGTCCCCAACAGCCATTACTGGGCTGCTATTTATTAATATACAGTAACCATAAAACATAAACAAAATTAGTAAATTCAACAATAAAATCTACAAGCTCCTTACAACTGCAAGTTAAGTTTCCTGTGGGCTTTAACAGGATACTACTAGTATATATTTTTTTATCGGGCTGTCAAAATGTTCCGTGCGTATGTGTTTTGTTGAGAATTGTGAAGCTGCACATGCTTTGACTATTTGTTGCTGGTGGTTGTAGTATTTGTATACTGATTCCCCCCCCCCCCGCGAGCTCAAGGATGTGTGCATTGTCTTCCACTTCCCCATTTTTATTTTCACAACTGCCCTGTGAAGTTAGATATGCTGAGAGCTGGTAGTTTAGACACCAAAGTTGTGAAACTACACATACTTAAGAACATTTTCTGCTTTTTATTTATTGGGGTTGACAAACATTTTTTGTTTTGCCATTTTGCTGTGAGTATGAAGACCTTGAAATGTAGTAGTTAAAGCATTGTATTACATGATCTGTGATACAAATATGTATCTTGCTTTTGTACTCAGGAGCCCAAGGTTGTATACATTATCCTCTCCTTCCCTCTTTTATCTTGGCCTAGCCTACCTCGCAGGGCTGGTGCAAAGTTAATAAGCAGCAGGTCTCTCCAATAGATTTTGGGGTGTGTGCAGGGGCCTCACATCACATGCAGTGTACCAGGTCCTGGAAAAACCCTGTTGGCATCCTTGCGTACAACCCCAACTCAGCTGGCTACAGATTTTCAGGATTTTTTAAAAGCGCATTCATGTCCAATATACCAAAGTTTGTCCTAAAATAGTGGCATTTCCTGCAGTATAAGTGTTACAGAAAAATCTAGGTGCGAGTGGCAGAGCCTGTCGGTCCCTGTGGAATAAAGGAAGGAGTCCAGCCACCAACCAGAGCAAATAGCTTTAAACCAAAGTTTATTGTGCAACAGGTTCAAAGCGGAATGGGGTGACAATGACTTTGAAAACTTTCCTACCATATCCAGAATACAGTTCGTGCTACATCATTGCTACATCACTGACATGTCACAAAAGGGGAGGGGTAGACAGGGGTTACACTAGTTTAACCTTGGCAAACATGTCCAGACAAGTCTTTGGTACAAGATTAGCATAAGCAGGCATGTCAGGGCAAGACCCAGGTATAAGATTAGCATAGGCAAACACCTCTGAGTCCTACCACCCAAAGTACAATAGAACTTCCTTTGCATGTCTGGACCCCTTGGCAAGTCTGGTGATGGGATTAGGCTTTCCTTGGCCAACAATCAGCTCAGCAGTTGCACCTCTGGTCACTTCCTGGGGTAGGAGGTGTGGATACATGTCCTCATGCTTGGGGAGGTGGCAGGGAAAAGAGTCATTTTTCCAAGGGCAAAATAGTGTTGAAATGGAGGAAACTGGCAAAGGAGTTGATTTTATATAATTGTTAAAGTTCCCTGAGCTGTAAAGTTGAAAGGATACATTTATGCATTATATTTATAACATTTAACAACTTTAAAGATGTGCCCCCCCCCATAATTTCTGTAACAATAAGCATACTTGAAATCACAAGCTGCCTTCTGCCCTATAACGGTGGAATGTCTTTGAAAAGATGGTTTTGATGTAGTGAAAACGCTTGACAATTGTTCTGAAAAGGGGTTTTTATCCCCATCTATTTGGGTACAGTGGTACCTCTGGTTGCGAACTTAATCCATTCCAGAGGCCCGTTCGTAACCGGAAACCACTCATAACATGTGGCGAGCTTTCGCTAATGGCGCCTCTCGCTGCTGCCGCGCCACCGGAGCACAATTTCCGCTTGCATCCCGGGGCAAAGGTCACAACAAGGGACATCTACTTCCGGGTCAGCAGAGTGCGTAACCCGAAGGATTCGTAAGGAGGACGGTACGTAATATGAGGTACCACTGTACATGGTAGCTATAATATGTCACTGTAACCGATGTATCTTGGCTTTCTTTAGTGCTGGAATTCAGCTGTGTACAGAGGTTCTCCTGTCCAAGCTCTGATGAGACCATGAACTGCTCAGTTTCTGTAAGGATTACCAGAAATAACCACAAAATATTTGGGCTTTCTTTTCCTTCCACCATTGCGATAAAACCGTTACCTAGTAGAATACACAGATTTAATGAGACAAGTGATCCATTTGCCACAAACATCACTGGGGAGGAAAGGAGTAGGATGAAAGCCACAAACCATAATTGGTTTGTGTAAATTGTGGTTGAGTTTTTATGACTTATTGTTCATGTCTTCGCTCTCTTCAGGCACTCTTTTTTGCCCATAAGAAAATGAGAATAAAAGGCCTGTTAAATGCAGTGAAAGAAAAAAATCCAAAATAATCCAGTTCACTTACTGCACTGGCTCATTTATTAAAAGCCTGAGTCTATATAAGCATACATTTCATTAAATGGAATAACCAGGCACAAGTGTGTTTTATATTTGAAGTGCAAAAAAGACAAATGTTTAACTTTGTTTTATTGGTATAATTGTATAAAAATAGTTTAAAAACAACAGCCACCATCTCAGGCTGAGGACACACACACACACACACACACACACGTATATACAGTATATAAGGACAATTTGCTGAAAAGCTAATGCTAAAATATAACTTGGCATAATTACAGATTTAACCTAGTTTACAGTCAAGAATAAAGTGAAAATAGGAGACAAGCAATGCTTGGATACATTTTGCACAGCTGAGAAATACATTGTTTGGGAAGCCTGCAGAAAAGCTGAGCTGCTTTAAACAGACAGGACTGATAACATGTTACAGTTCCTATTGTGATATGAAAGGTTTACAAATAAGCAGACACCCTAAAAACCTGTCCACTTCCTTTGTTAATCACCTTAGAGACAAACTTTAATGTGGCAGGGAGAGTTTCTGGTAAAGTGTTTGTGAAACTTGGGTCTGCTTTCTTCAATGGTTGGGTTAACTCTCGGTTTAAACCAAATAATGGTGGTTTAGAGCCTGTTTATGTGGCAAACTGAGTGAGTTAGAAGATAAACTGGGTTAACCCCTGGCTCTTGGGCATTTTCTTCCTCCATTGAATGCCATGGAAGAATCCTGCTTAAGAGTTAAGTGTGCTTATAGTATTGAAATCCTGATGCTCAGATAGGCATATATCCCATTAAAGCTTATACATACCGCTAAATCTTATTACAGCAGTAGCAAATGAATATTTAAAAATACTCATATGGCCAATAAATAGTTCTTGCTACCCCTACATTTACATAGAGGGTCCATAGCAACAAGTATAATAAAGCTATAAGCATGCCAGGCTTATTTTCTGGTAAATAAAATTAGGGATGAGAGGTGATAAATTATGTGCAAGCCACAATTTAAGTTGAAGGAGAGTTTCCAAAATGAGAAAACACTCTTTACCCTACATAGCAGGCAATAATACTGTTCCTGGGTATGGCTTCTCCAGCTGCAGAACCATACTAGTACCTTCCATTCTGTTGCAAACTGCATGTGCGTGGATGGCAAATAATGGCGAGAACATCTCACCCTTACACTAAATACACCCCTAACTGAGGATTTTATTACAACGTGAGTGAGAGCTAGTTTAGCAAAGATCAACGGGCTCCGCAGCTGGGGACAAGTGGTCCAGTCTACCACGCATCCCATGTGGTGCCCCCAATTACTTTTGGGTGCTGGGACACCGATACCTCATAAAAGGAGCGTTTGCTTTCCTTGGTGTTGTTTCAGAGACAGAGCATTGCCAAAGCCTTGCTCCCTTTTTCACTTGAAACGGGTGCTGCTTTGCTGGTGGAGTTGCTCACAAGTCACAAGGAAGAGGTGGTTTCACTCAGTAAGATGACTGGAGGTGTCCAAGCCACTGGATCTGTCCCAGAGGGAGTGGGGGAAGCACTCTTTGGTTTGAAATGAACTTCACTGTAAAATTTCTGCTTATGAAGAACGACGGTTCATTTCCCCTTCCAAATCAGGCAGTTGTCTAGAAGATGGTACTACGCGTTGTATGTAGTTGTCTGATCATTTGGTGGGGGGAGGGTTACTTGTAAAAAAATGCTGTTGAGGTGGAACAGTCAGTATGGTGGGTAGTGCTTTTAACCCTTACCCCTCCCGCCATTTTTCTGAGCAATGCTTCTATCACACCTGGAAAGAGAGAGGTATGCCCTGTGTCATTGTGAAGAGCGATGCACTCCAGGTTCTGGGATCCAGGGGGATTATGTCCATTTCACCAGAGCAGAATGTTGAAAATCAAACGCCACTGCCCAGGTTCCTCTATGGTCAGGCACATGCTGCTTCCGATGTCCCGTTGGAAAGCTGCTGCGATGTCATTTCACTTGTTGCCACTGGCTGGTGAGATGTCATAGGCTCTGAAACGTCAATCGGTTCAGCAACATTGAACAGAAAATCTTTGACATATTTTTAAAATTCTTAGTCACGTTGGTAAAGAGTGGGGGTGGGGAGAATTCCCATTAGTCATGAGGGTGGAGTATGGGACAAAAAGTCAATAAAGAAGAACAAAACATAGGCTAATCGGCTATGACCGGTCATGGTCACCCAGTGAGCTTCATAGCTGAGTGGGGATTTGAACTCTAGTCTCCCATGTCTTAATCCAGGGGTGGGATACTTTTGGCCTTGCAGATGTCGCTAAGCTACAAATCCCACCATCCCAGGCCATTGGCCATGCTTGCTGGGGCTGAGGAGAGTTGCAGTTCAGCAACATCTGCAGAGGCAAAGGTTCCCCACCCCTATCCTAATCCAACACTCTAACCCATGGGTTGGCAAACTAAGGCCCAGGGGCCGGATGTGGCCCAATTGCCTTCTGGATCCAGCCCACAGATGGTCCAGCCCACAGATTTGGAATCACCGCATGGATCAGCGTAGGGATTCTGATGGTTCGGGCTGTGCCATTTCCCCCCCTCCCTCACACACACCGTGGCGGCGCCTCCTCCCTCCTCCCTCCTGGCTTCTCCCAGCCCTGCCTAGAGGAGGAAGGGGGCTGGGCTTTGTTGATGGCTGAGCGCCATTTTAAGCAGCCCCTCTCTGGAGCCAGCCTTTTCACGTCACTCATTGTCCCTCTGCTGCCACCGCCAGCCCCTGCCGCTCTCAAGGCACAGGTAAGTGGCCACTGGGGCTCATCCGGTGTTGTGGAGAAGGGAGGGGAGAGTCGGGGGGGATTTTTCTCTCCAAAATATAAGTCTGGCCCCCCACAAGTTCTGAGGGACAGTGGACCAGCCCCCTGCAGAAAAAGTTTGCTGACCCCTGCTCTAACCACTACACCGCTCAGAACTAGCACTCTGAATTGTTCTCAGAAGTTAGAAAAAAGTGCAGACGAGCAAACACGGCCTGTCAGCAGACAGAGTAGCAGAGTTCAGTAATAGCCAAAGCTTTGGAAGTTTGGGACTTATTCCACTTTGCAACTAATTTTAAGACTGCAAAGGAGTCTAAATACAAAGTAGTTTCTGAGTTTGTATTTAGATTGTAAGCCTGCAGTCACATACATTACCTTCCACAGGCCGAACTATTTGACACAGCATCTCTTGTAAATAAAATAAATAAAAATAATTTTAAACTTCATCTCTATTATCCTGCAGTATGTGTTGCTTTCCATAATACTATTGCAGTGGTTCCCACTAGCGCATCACATCCATGTATGCTCTGAAGAATTCATCTGTAGTTGAAGAATACATTTAAGCAATCCCTGATTTTTTTCAAATAAAACTGGTGCAAATTGAAATGTTTCATGGTCATTTGGTTCTGGGGTGGTAGTTGAAAATACCACTTTGTGTATATCACTAGCTCCATTGGCCTAACATTATGAAAACTGGAACTGCCTTCTTGCCTGCATACATTAGAAGAACCAGCTACTAGAATTGCCCTTTCATTCACCAAAAGGGGAACCTGAAGACAACAAATGTAACTTGCAGCCAGAGGCATGTTTAACAGGCAGTTGCCCTGAAGAACAAACTCACTGACCCCTCAACTCCCCTCTTTCGAAGGTCAGGTTTAATTTTCAAGATTGCGTGCTAGGGGTGTGGGGAAATTCTTTTACATATTTATTTACATTGTGGAATATAGGCTAGGGAAGTTGGAGCGTTCTTAAGAAGCAGAGGGTATAATGTTTTCAGAGTGTGGCTTCATTCCCTTTTACGAAGCTGCAGCACTAAGCTTGAAGCTGGAGGCAATATTTTCTCAGGAAAAATGTTTGCAGACTCACCACTCAGCCACGTAACCTGGAAAAGGATATGGTCCAGCACTATGGCTCCAGTTGAATATTGGGGCTCATTCACACTTGTTTCCCAATGCACATATATTTCAGTTTGCCTTGGGATGATGGCTGCTCTCTCTCTCTCTCCCTCCCCCCCCCCAGTGTTATTTTTTTGCTGAGCTGAAACATTCCTGGTTTGGGAGGAGTTGTGTGTTGATGTTTTTTAAGTATGATTTTAGCTTGTTGCTTTTAGTCCTGTAAACCTCTTACTATATTTTTTATGAATTCGTGGGCAGCACGCCAGGGAAAGGCCCCATTGCACTAGTAGGACCAGAAATATTGTTAAATAAATAGGATTGCATCCAATGCTGGCCTTACTCAAAGTAGACCCACTGAAATTAATGAACATGATGAACTTGGGCTCATTAATTTCAGTGGGCCTAGCTTGTATTGAGCTTAGCTGGATACAACCCATAAAAAGCAAACATTCATTTCCTAACATGGCTACAGTTTAAGCTGAGCATGAAATGAACCTAAGGATCTGCTTGCAATGTTTGGCCACAGCCCTGGAACATGTAAACTATGAACAATGGCTTGTTTCCAGTAGTAACCTAAGGGTTTATGAAAAGATACCTATTGCCTTTCTTGGTGGTGTGCATGGTTCTTCTACCCCTATTATTCTGGTAACAAGCCTGTGAGATAGGCTAGGCTAAGAGACAACTGATTAGGAGTCTTGACAGCTAAGTGGGTCTCTGAACCTGGGTCTCTGAATTCCTAGCAGGGCTCTCAACCACACCACAGTTTCCTACATTGGTTGGTCACAAAGGCATTGGAACTCACTGCGGCGGCGGCATCGGAGGAATGTTGGCACTATCACGAGAGCAAGGACGAGGATAACAATGGAAGCCGCTATGAAACCATGCGGAGGAGGCGGTGGAGATGAATTGGCGCACTTCCCTATTGCTGAAACGAGAGAATTGAAGATAAATCTGTGACTGCACTGAAGAGCCCATGGGGCACATGAGAAGCAATACTTTGGGGCACTGAGTGTCACTTATCTGAGTGGAGCACTTCCAACATTAAGTTGGTTTTCCTTTCTCCTGTTAACTTGAAACCCACCTACATACGGAAATCATGGCCATTGCTTAATGTCTTACATTTCCCTCCATCTACTTGATAATATTGTAGGGATAAACAAATGGATACCACATTCCAAGCCGAGGCACAGGAATATTTGCTGCCTGCTTGCGCGCTCGCGCACACACACACACAAGCACATACACAGGAACACACAAATAATCCAAGACAGTGACTTGGTTTTGCATTTCGCACTGGTTCAGCTAAATAGTTACAATGCTATCTATATTTTTTGCTGGTGTTTCTGGTACTGTTCAAGATGGAATCCATGAAAAAGCAGAAATGTCCCATCAGCTGACCAAATATTTTCAGCTGTGATGCTAAACTTCTATAGGAAGTAATAATAGTAGACGTTTGGAAAGATACAGTGTCTTCCTAACAACACACAGCTATTTTAGATCCAGAGATAAAAACTCGCCAAATTAATGGTCATTCATTATTTGTAGATCTCCCTATATGGAACCAATCTCATTTGAAAAATTCTGAGGTTTAGTCCTTGTAAGTCTTCTGAATGGCTATATTTCACAAATGAGAAACACTGTCTCAATGTATGATTGAGGGAACTTACACAAGAGGTGGTCAGTGGACACTTGTAAACCTGCATAATGTATTCGACATTGGACCAAGATATCTTCAGACACGTTTTGCTGTAAGTTGCCAGTAATATTAAAACTTTCAGTGTAGTTGTCCTTTATGGAAGTATAGGAACACTGCACTGTCTCATTATTGACCAACCAAGACATCGTAGCCTCTGGATATCCTCCATGAGAAGAACACATCAGTGTCAACTGAGCTGGGCCACAGGGATTATGTGATACATGTATGACAGGCTTCCTATAGTCAGCTAGAGGGAGGAAAAGACAGTGAGATCACAAGTTACACTTGTACATATTGAGATGTCAAACAATGTTATCGGCACTATGCTTAAGGATTGTTTTTCTACAGAACCATCAAATTTAATCTGACTTGCACTGGAACAGCCGAGTGCTCTTTAGGAAATCCCATTCATTTAAACAGGAGACACTCGTGGAAGTTCCTGCCATGGCTTGTAAATGGTGCTATATTACTAAGAATTCTAAATTACTGGTAAGAGTTCTTATTATAACAGGTTAATAGCATCCTTTCTCTCGGACATAATATAATGCTGGAAGATTTGGAAAGGTTATGGAAAAAAGGGGTTAAGTTTACTGCATGTAGAGAGACTTCAAAAAACTTTGGAAAGTCTGAGCTGCAGAGATAAATAGTCATAGGGGGAGGTGAATTATATATGCACTTCAAGTCTGATTTGGCAAATCTCCTCTGGAAAGGCTAATGTTTGATGCAGCCGGTCTGGGAAAATTAATGAGCAAATGCCTAGATTTGATTTGATTTGATTTTTTCGGAACTGAGAGAAGATGGCGTCTGCCAGCTGCAAAGGACACCAGCATGTGAGGATATACAGCAAAAATTAGGCAGAGAGTCAAGCAGACAAATTTCACACAGAAGCATATCATTGCTTACTTCAGCTCACCTGTGGAAACAACTCAGAGGCCATGAACGAAGGAAAGGTAACAACAGGAAGAATTAAAGGAACTATTGGAAACTCAAGGCAGTAGAGATATAAGATGATCAGAGCCCCACCGAACTTGAAGCATGGGAAGCCCCAAAACAATTTATAATTTGGTGGAATATTTGGACTATATGATATGTATTTTTATAATTTGGAATATTTAATGTGATTTGATTGGACTGTTAAAATGGAAAATTTAATAAAAAATATTATTATTATTTTTAAAAAATGTCCCCCTGTCCCTGCTGTAAGGTCTATGGCATGTCTAAGTAGAAAGTAGCAGTGGCTCATGGGAAGGAGACCAACCGTAAGTGGAGCCAGAGTCAATGACAGGCAGAGCAAGCTAATTTCACCCCCAATCTCCCCCCCCCCCGCTAAATTCTATTTGGGCAACACTGAGACTAAGGAGGAGGAAGCTTGCAGGCAATGCCACCCATTGGGCTGGTTGTGAAGAAACAGGGAAGTTGGAGCTGGCTGAGGATAGATAGGTTGGTGGAGCAGTGCTCTATTTGCCCAGGAAACCAGCCTCCGCTGGTAGAAAAGTGACTTAAAATGAACAGCCCCTGTCTAACACAAATGAATAGGACCCTTAAGCATTGCTTGGGTACTTAAAATCCTGTTTTGCTAGAGAAGCACTTACCTGACACTGATAAATGTACCCATTTATCACCTTTGTGTTCTTCCTCCAGTAATATGATACACCTATATTTGCCTTGATCGGACACATTCACACTGGAGATCCAAAGTGTAAGAGTCTTCTCATCCATCTTTGTCCTGTTCTGGAATTGTATGTCTTTTACGGTGTTTTCTTCACCGTTGCTGTAAGCTATCACAACCAGGTCAGATATACCAGGGCCTACGTATTTCTGCCAGTAGATCCTGTAAGATGCCAGGGGCCGTTGCATTTTGTAGTTGCAAGGGAGTGTGGCTACACCCCCTATTTTGGCTGTTACCTGGACAGGGTCTGGGGAGGAAGAAAACAAGAAACAGGATCTCGTGAAACAGATGCTTGTTCTTCAAGTCCTTCCTCACATCTCTGCATTTAAACAATACTTTGCAAAAAGGGAAGGGAGATTCAGATATGCAACACACACTGGCCATCAGTCATTAATGAAACAAGGATTTCTGAAGGAGTTCAACCTACTATTAAATCCACAATCAGTTCCTATTAGTAGTGCAATAGATTTCCCCATACTCTCCCACAAATATACCTCTCTTTGACTTGTCAATGACTGTTTGCAGCCTCCATTATTTCTGCTTTCTGTTTCTCCTTCTGTCCCATTTCCCCGATTGCATGATCCCAGAATACCAGAAATTAAATGGTGAGCATGATGATGCCACAACATGGCACAGCTTTTGAAATATACTCAGAGTCGCAAAGTGATTTCATGCTCTTTATTCAGCTCATAGTGGTGAGGAGGAATGAGTGAATGTCCCCTCAAAGTATCTGCTTTATATACATTATTTACACAATGGGCTGCACATGATTGGATAATTCTGGAATTCTACTGTAAGCCAATCAGGTTGTGGATTCACTTATATCTGGAGCATGATTGGGTGGTTCCTGCCAACCAATCATACTGCTGCATTGTTCTGGGACCAATCAGACTGCTGCATTTTGGATCCTATTGTTCTAGGACCAATCAGACTGCTGCAGTTTGGATCCTATTCAACTCAGTACATAACACCTTTCATATGTGATGACCTCCAAATGGGTCATTTCAGTGTGAGGAAGCTGGAGTAGCTCAGTTGGTAGACCATGGTAGGGCATAATCTCAGGGTGGAGGGATCAAGCACCACGTTGGGTAAAAGTTTCCTGCATTGCTATATGGTCTTTGTGGTACCTTCCAACTCTATGACTTTTTAGCACATTTGCCCTCATTCTGAATGGGGCAGGTAGGGGAGAGAGAGCAACACAAAGCATGGAAGAGATCTAAGTAAGAGTAACTGGGATTACAATATGGAACGAGTAAAGAGGGAAGCACTTTGTCACCTTTTAGCATAGTTCTCTGAAAAATTGCCAAGAGAGGGGTGTATTTTCATGGGGGAGGTGAGAGAACATTTTTTCAAAACACACACTCTTCAGCTTAGTCCTACTTAGGAGAAAACACCATTATGAGGGGATTTATTGTCTGAATCATGCGTGTCTGGATGAAGGATAAAGAGAGGTGTATGAGTGTGTGGAGAAGTCAGCCTATCGTATAAAGTCAATAGTTAACTTTGTTGTTGTTCTGCTCGCTTTTGCCTCCAGCCTTACCCACCACTAGAATGTGGCTCCCAAAAGGTTATCCAGAGGGAATGAAAAAGCTTCCCCAACCCTGGTTTGAATCCACGGAATGTTATTCATGAAATATCTGTGAATTGCAAACCAGAGCTCTATACATCAAAACTGGTCACATGCATCTATTCCATTGTTCTATTCTGGTTTGCCTTTTCTCCTTGAACTATTGGTTTGCATGCTTGTAGGCATTTTCCCTGCTTTCAGGACTCTTGCTGTTGTTGATTTTTTTTAAAAAAAAACTTCCCTAAAATAAATGAATCCAGGCTAATGTACCTGTGTCCCCACGCCCCCCATCTTCAGTTGTGATTTGTGTATTGTAAGGGGTTGGACTAAATGACCACTGGGGTCTCTTCCAACTCTACAGTTCTGTGATTCTATGTACATATATCATGAAATAATTTGGTGCAGGCTGTGAATAAAAGGGACGGAATCTTTTGACAAAATTACAGGGGATCTGGGGTTATATATTTAGAGAGTGGATCTAGATTTATATAATTTAATCTCTTTAATAACTATAATAGAAAGGCAGGGTGGAAATGATTGGCAATAAATAAGTTAATAACAGTTTTCATATACCAAAGCCCAATATAGGTTTCTGAGTTGAAACCACAGGAATAACTTGGTAGCATTTAATTATTTATGGAATTTATGTAGTGCCCAATTAGCCACATCCCCTGGGTGGTTCACAAATTTAAAAATGATAAAATACAACTACTATTCCCCCCCCCAAAAAACCCCCACAAAATCATAAAAATAGTGTATAAAAATGGCACAGAAATCATCATAAAGCCATCATGAGGCAGCATAAGATGAAGAACAATAAAAACAGCACTAAAACCCAGCCAAGGGGGAAAACAAAATACTTTAAGGAACTAAAATGTACTAGAACCATAGTTACTAAGAGAACATCATTTGCTAAAATGCAGCTGGGCTATGTTTAGAGTAAATACAGCAGAATTTGGCAACTGAAAATTGTTTGTAGAAAGGATCTGTCAAGATAGAGATTGTATAGAACTTTCCCTACCATTAGACAGAGGGAAGTGGCTGCCTCAGGTTGTGAATTTGGGGTGTGATAAAAGTTCAGCAAACTGTTCTTTATTTAATTTATCATTGCTGTGTGTTTTTTGCTGCCAGAAAGAAGGTGCCAAAATAATTTGCCTCAGGTGTGAAAATAATTTTTTCAGTCTCAGGTGCCAAAATAATTTGTCTAGCATATCACCTGTACTGGATTTCCAAAATCCAGGGGCAATTTCTGCCATTTATAGTCTGGATTTTACCTTGAGGGCTCAGTCCTATCAGCATAGGCTGCAATTCTTACAGAGGAGCAGCACAATAGTGCTGTGATTGGTGCCCAGTTGTGCCTTGGGACCTCTGAGAAGAAGGCATGTGTGGTTGCCAGTCCATTTCTGTTTTAAATTCTGCATTTGGTTTTTTGCTTTACTTCTTACTTATGGTTTTAACTTTTTATTCTAAAACTGCAGAGAACTTTTGTTGCTGGGTAGCATATAAATGTTGTGAAGAAGAAGAAGAAGAGTTTGGATTTGATATCCCGCTTTATCACTCCCCTTCAGGAGTCTCAAAGCGGCTAACATTCTCCTTTCCCTTCCTCCCCCACAACAAACACTCTGTGAGGTGAGTGGGGCTGAGAGACTTCAGAGAAGTGTGACTGGCCCAAGGTCACCCAGCAGCTGCATGTGGAGGAGCGGGGAAGCGAACCCGGTTCCCCAGATTACGAATCTACCGCTCTTAACCACTACACCACACTGGCTCATTTAATTAATTACTAAGTAACTATTTATTTAGATAATAACGATTTATCTAGCTAATTATTTAATGACTAAATACCAAATTGCATTTGGTAACCGATTTCAGTGATCTGCCTGAAATCCACCCAGCCCTGTGAAACTTCTACTATTATCTACCCCTTTTCTCACAATTCAGGGTGGTGGCACTGTGTCACGCTGTCCTAGAAAATGTTATGGGGGCAGTTTCACACCACCCTAACCACACCAACAGAGGACATCATACCAGAAAGAGACCATGGGTGTGCGGATGTCAGAGACACAACTTGCTGTGACTTGCCTAAGGAGCTTTCTGGTTGGCAGGCTAATTTTTCCCCTCTGCCCAGAAAAGCAGAACAAAAACCTTCTGTGCAGGACAGCCGTGAGCAAGCACACAGTTACTGGAATTTTTTTGCTAATGTCACACCTAACTTTGTCTTGCATAACACCTAGGAAACTGCAAGTAGAATATGCTTACAGAACATAAGAGTTGTAGACAAGAGGAACTATGCTGCCCGCAAACATTCAGCAAGTTCAGTTAACTCACAGTGGAGGTGTGCTGTTGCGACAAAGCAAAAATGAAAACGAAGCTGGAAACTGGAATAGACAATATACTAAATAGTCCCTGTAACTGGCCTGTGTGGGAGGCATCTATCATTCAGCATGTGATCCTGATGAAATCGAAGGTACCAGCACCAAAACCCTGTGCATAATTTCTCTCACTGTCTCAGTGAGAGGGACTAATCTTGCTTAATGGTTGCCATCAATTTGATTTTAATTAATTTTATAATGAATGTTTTTAGAATGCTGGATTATTTTGATTGTTGTTAGCCGCCCTGAGCCCAGCTTCGGCTGGGGAGAGCGGGATATAAATAAAATTTATTATTATTATTATTATTATTCTCTTTTCCTGCCAGTACAAAAAATGGGCTCAGTAACTCTAATTCAAGGTCTAGCTACAGCTGCTTTACATATTATGTCACAGAAAACTGATTTTCTGCTGCATGGACAGGCAAAATAGGTTTGGTACCTGCATATGTACATTCTCAAATATACATTTGCTGCTTGGACACATCATATTTATATATGTACAGCAATTTGGATGGGAGCCCCATGTATAACGATCTATATCTATTTTTTAAACACTCAAATATTTACACACCCCTCTTGAATGAGGGACAAGCCCTCTCTAAATTTGTTCTGTATGATTAAATGCCACACAATCAGATGTGCATCTCCTCATTTGTTTCGCTGATTGATGATGTTCTCACCAATAGAGCAACCACACACATAGTTGGTTTTCGTAGAGACCTACTTTCCTGAAATTCCTCCCTTGAGATTGTTAAATCATTTCCACGTTTATTTATTACATTTTTATCCCACACTTTTCTATGAAGATTGGGGGCGTGTACACAGCCCCCCGCTTATTCTCACAATATTACTATGAGGTAGGCTACGCTGAGAGAGAAAACCTGGCTTAAGGTGATCTTTGCACCCAAGTGGGGATTTGAACGCGAGCCTCCTCAGTCTAAGGTCCAACATTCTGACTACTATTCCATACTGATCTTGACATGCACTTCTCTTATTTCTCCATTGCAGTGAATACTAGAAAGGTCATGGCGTTCCTAGCATGGCAAATTATTGTGTTACTACAAGATGACCTTACTAGATCCACTTAATTCCTGATGTAGATCTTCCTTATTCCCTAGCGGGGGTGGGGACAAAACCATTTGAGGTTTTGCCTCAGCCACCTTGCAGGGAGACATAATATGTTGTCATTATCCAGCATGGTTTTAGGTTTTAGTTTTCAGTCAGGGAATCCCCTATGACCAGTGAACTTGTGACATTTAAATGAGTAAGAAAAGAAAGCAGAAGCCCAGCCTACAGCAGAAACAAGTTTGGCTTTTCAGTTCCAGATCTGGCATTTCTAGTGAATTCACTCATTCCACAAGGATTTATGAACCATGGTTTTATACAGACTCACTCAGTAAGCAAGGAATTCTAGTTTTTAAAAATATATTATATATACAGTGGTACCTCGGGTTACATACGCTTCAGGTTACATACGCTTCAGGTTACAGACTCCGCTAACCCAGAAATATTACCTCGGGTTAAGAACTTTGCTTCAGGATGAGAACAGAAATAGTGCTCTGGCGGCATGGCAGTAGCAGGAGGCCCCATTAGCTAAAGTGGTGCTTCAGGTTAAGAACAGTTTCATGTTAAGAACGGACCTCCAGAACAAATTAAGTACTTAACCCGAGGTACCACTGTATGTATATATTATGGTGCCATCGTTCCATGTTATATGGAAGCTCTCTATGCACCCCCCCCGGCTATGATTCAGTTACATAATTTAGACACCCTGACTGCCAATGGCCCTTGATCTGTCCCTCAGGCTGTTTTATTTTAACTGTCCCACAAGTCCACCTATAATATAGTAAAACCATAATCACTGAGTTTCATTTTATTACTGCTATTATCTGTTTTCCGTTTTACTTGCAGCATAAATCTGTGCATGTCTACTTAGAACAGGGCTGACCCAAGGTATTTTGGTGGCTGAAGCAAACCCCCAAATGGCATTCCACCCCCGCTAGGGAAGAAGAGGTGAGTGAAGATCTACATCAGGAATAAGGTGGAGAATAAAGTTATACATTAGGATCTGCTGCCCCTGCCACCTGAGGCAGTTGCCCCACCTTGTTTCATGGTGGGCTGGCCCTGACTCCACAAAACTAGAAAACTGCACAAGCAAACTACATTAAAAATCTTTATTCTATCCATTCCATAAATTTTATATACTGCTCAATTGCAAAAAGTCTCAAAGCTGTTTAGAAATACATATATAAGTATTGGGCAACAATGTGAAAAGTGTGTGTGGAGAATGAGAGAGAGGGAGAGAGGGAGGGAGAGAGGGAAAGAGAAAGAGAGAGAAGCAATCTGAAAAGTGTGGGCTGGTGAGAATTTAAAATTGCTTTCATTTCTTTTTCAGCCTGCTATGGTCTAATTTGAGTAGAGGAAAAATAGACTAACAGTTTAAATAATGTTCCAATGTGGACAATCCCTGCATCATGTATGAGGTAATTATTGCAAGTACTTTGCAATAAACTACTTTAAAATATTATTATTATTATATTATTATTATTTGTTAAGGGTCCTTAATGACTTGGAGATTTCCCAGTGACTGGACTGAGGAATTTCTTAAGAAAACTGGGGAAACCCCATGCGGTGAGAGACCATGATCTGGGAGAATCCCATGCTGGGAGGGAAACAACAGATGCAATCTTATTCTTCCCCTGGGAGATTTACTGCTATTCCAAGGCCAACCCTATCATTAATTAGAGTGAGATGGCTGCCTCGGGTGGCAGATGCTGAGAGGTGGCAGCAGTAGCACTAGAACCCTGGTTGTACTTCCTGAGGTCCCCTAAAGCCATTCCCTTCCTCCTGAGTCAGGATACTGATGGCGGCCACATCTGCTTTCTGCTGGCTTGGTCACCTGACTGTCTCGCCTTGAAAGGGACCAAGGGAAGCAGACAGAAAGACAGCCAACCCTGGCCACGCACTGCAGCATGAATCTCCAGTGTGCCTGCCCGTGCACTTGTATTTGGCGTAAAGCCTTTCAGAGCTCTCTGAATCATTTGGTGTTATCCACAAACATGGCCACCTCCCTGCTAACCATAACTCTAGATCCTGGGTCCCAGGCTAGTTAAAGTTTTAAAGGATAAAAATTGATCCCAGGACCAAATAGGCAACTTGGTGTGCCTGAACATTGCTGAAGTGATACGACTGAACACCTCACACTGGACAACAGTCTGGCTGCTTCCAAATGCTTTCTCAAGGCAGCCTCTTGTAGACTGTTACAATAATCCAAGCTTGATGTAACGAGAGTGGGGAGAGAGAGGAATGAATGGCCATGTCAGATTTCTACAAGCAACCAACACACCAGCTGAAGCAGCTGAGAAGTGCTTCCGGCCACTGCTAATAACTGGGTCAGTTCTAAGTCCTGGAGCACTCCCAAGCTGCACACAGAGTTCAGCTCTCCCCTAGACTGTAGCAACTGCATCTCAAGAGCAGATACTGGCTACATCTGGGCTCTAGTGCCCAAGCATGCAAAATTCATGTACATAAATATTCAGGCACCACTCAGTAACAGATTGCCATTTCACACCCTGTATCTTCTGAGTTAAATTTTGAGCTGTTGATAACTTACTGTAGATAATTTTGCTGTCTATCTGTATTAAAAAGAACAAACACTTTACCAGCTTCTAGAAGCAGTAGGATGCAGGCAAATGCAGAGTAAATTAATACTTATCCCTTCATTCAATTTATAGCCCATGCTTCATTGTGAGGTCCTCGGGCAGGATGCATATAATTCCATAATGCAGTTTAACATAATAATTATAACTTCAGCTAAAACTGTAACCAGCACGACTACACTGGAGGGAGGAACAACAAAATCTAATTTAATACATAATGACAACAACAACATATTTGCAATACTTATCTACCCAGCCACTCTGGGTGAAGAGATGCATCTTGACCTGCCAGCGAAATACATACAATGACAGAGCCAGATACATCTCAGAGGGGAGAGAGAGTTCCAGAACCTGGGGGCCACCGCAGAGAAGGCCCTCCTACACACCACTATTCCACAGACTGCGGAATACACTGGAGTATAGGAAGCATTCAGGTTTGCCACAGAAGGTGGAGAGAGCTGTCCTGCTTGGCAAGCTCCAGATTTAATCTACTTCTGTTCTCCAGTATTACAAGATTTAAGAAGATTCATGCAATATCCAAGTAGAATCAAAATGCAGACCTAGGCATATGGCTGCAGCTGTAAAACTGCACGCCCACAAACTATGAAACATTGGCCACAGACTATGCAATGTCAACACAGCACTGTCCTCCAAATGAGGAAAGCTGTCATCACCACAAACAATAATTTCTAGAATGTTGTTAATCTCATGCGCATTGAATCAGTGCACAATGTGACGCAAGAGATCAGCAGAGAGGAAGTATTAGAAATATATTAGGGGTTTGCCCAGAAGCAGGGAGAGGGAGTGGCCGAAAGGAACTTGGAATGTAACCCAAGATGGAGTATTGCTGTTAGCATATACAGTGTTACCTCGGGTTACAGAAGCTTCAGGTTACAGACACTTCAGGTTACAAACTCAGCTAACCCAGAAATAGTACCTTGGGTTAAGAACTTTGCTTCAGGATAAGAACAGAAATTGAGCGGCGGCAGTGCGGCAGCATCGGGAGGCCCCATTAGCTAAAGTGGTACCTCGGGTTAAGAACAGTTTCAGGTTAAGAACAGACCTCCAGAACAAATTAAGTTCTTAACCCGAGGTACCACTGTAACTGTTTCCAGCATTTCTTTTTTCAAAATGCAGGGGACAGCACAAATCAGTTCCTGTGTCTTTGAAAGCAGGCTGACTCAACTTGCGACACAGCAAGGCAAATGCTGCTTGCTAGTAATGACTGCTGAGTGCCAGGTGCTTGACAAGCCCCCCCCCCCCCATTTCAGCCATCCTAGGCAGTCCACAAAACAAGGAGTATTTGTGGGTTGTGCACTGCATTAGGTTGGGTGGTCCAAATGGCCCAATGTGGTGGTTTTGACAGAGGCCATATCACTGGCCAAGTTTATTTACAGTGGTGCCCCGCAAGACGAATGCCTCACAAGATGAAAAACTCGCTAGACGAAAGAGTTTTCCGTTTTTTGAGTCGTTCCGCAAGACGAATTTCCCTATGGGCTTGCTTTGCAAGACGAAACGTCTTGCGATTTCTTGCGAGTTTGTTTCCTTTTCCTTAAAGCCACTAAGCCGTTAATAGCCGCTAAGCCGCTAAGCCGTTAATAGCCGCTAAGCCGCTAATAGCCACTAAGCCGCTAATAGCCGTGCTTCGCAAGACAAAAAAACCGCAAGACGAAGAGACTCGCGGAACAGATTAATTTCATCTTGCGAGGCACCACTGTATTTCAGATCGATACCATCATCAGCAAGATTGCTGATACTCAAACTAGGGCCCTCCCAGCCTGTTTCTACTTTCTGGCAAATTCAGGTAGCACAATTAAAGTAGATTTGGTGGCGTTGCGCAGCAAACCCACTTTCCCCCCAAATTAGCCCTTTTTTTGCAATAAGGAAAGTGATAAGGAAATGATTTGGAAAGTGTGAGGTGTTAATTGCTTCCTGCAATGTCATATAACCCACCCTATGAAAAAATTAGAATGACAGCTGAGTGAACAGCTTGTCTGGAAGTGACCATAGATATAGTTAAAAGCAGCCACTGGAGGGGGACAGTTTGGTGGATGAGTGATTGCTTAACCTTTTCCCTTGTCTCTACTCTCCAAAGCTGCAATTAGCTATGGAAGAGAAAATGGCAGGTACAATATCTGCATTTTTTCTTCTTCTCAACTCACAGCAGCGTGTAGTATGTGTGGATTAAGGTTGTGGAAGGTTAACCCCCTGCCTATAGAGCAAACTGAAATCTTTCCCATAGCAGCTTTTAGCTCAAAGGGACTGTGCGATTTAGTGATGAAAGACTGGGATGCTTGTCTGTGAATCCTCACGTGGGCCACGAAGCTCACCAGGACCTTGCTCACTCACTGGTGAGGTAAACTGGTGTGACTCCATCCCACTCCTAGTTTGGCCCCAGACACAAATGATTTGAGACCAAACGGTATCCAGCATTACAACACACATTTCATTCAGTACACTTTGGTGTGGGTGTGGGTAGAGGTGTGTGTGATTTCAATTTCTATTTGCTTAATTTGGTTAACACTTTCCCCTGTTTTCTTTGGGGTTTCCCCCAAACTCATTCTTAAGTTGTTGTTTCACATTTCAGTGTGGCTTAAGGCATGATTTCAGAAAGAGGGGAAAAGCAGTTTTCTGAATTCAAAGGAAGCAGGAGACAGAATGCTGTGTCCATTGCCCACGGCTGGCTCCACCATTTGTCAGAAGCCCTTACTCTCAAAGGCTTGTTGAAATGTGTGAGAGGTCAGTGGAGGCGAACTGCCTGGCTCGAGGCCTCTGCCATCCCTCCGTTTGCCTTCCGGCTTCCCTGAGGGGCAAAGTGACCGAAACAGTGACAAAGGGAGCAGAGCTCAGCCCCACTGTGGCCTCCTGACATTTTTCCATGGCACTGGCCACTGAAAATCCTGCCACTGTTTAATATTGTTTTAATTGAGATATTTTATGTAGCGTACTTATATACATCATCATCAACTTTATTGCACTAGCCAAAGGCCATGGCATCATTCACAAAGGGAACAAAAAGAAAGGCAACAATAACCATAAAAGCCATAAAAACATCAGGCACTGCAGGTACAATAAATCACGATCACTTCTCCTAAAAATTATTTTTTGCATACAATAAAATAGCAAGGGGTTCTCAGGTGGAGTGTGTCAGCTTAAATGTCTGAATCACCTTTGCAATTGATCACTATTTTATCTAGTTCTTTTCTCCTGATCTTCTTAGCTGCCAATGCATATAGTGCTACTTTATAAGTTACGAAGTCTACTTAGATACATGGGCTTATTTTGTATTAATATGTAGTAACATTGTTCACTGCTTTGCGAACCTTTGTGCTAAAAAGCAGTGTGCAAGTAAACCACACCAGGCTGTACCGCGTCAATAAAGACAGTAGTGGCTGAAGAGCGAGAAGGTTGCCTCAGCCAGGCGATTTTAAGCGACAATGACAGGACAGCAAATGGTTACTTATTTAATGCATTCCTACATCTGAGGAAAAGGGAGAGGTGCTTGTGGGATTTTTTGCCCCAGGTCCCAATATAACTAGGCTGGCCTGGGGTAATATGTGCCTGGAATCGGGTGGGAGGTTTGCCACCTGCTGCTCTGCCTCACACAGAATGTCTTTGGGCAGCCCTGCCATTGCAAAAGCACATGCCAGAGCATATGGCGAGGTTAGGTACTTTTAGAATAATGCTCCCTCATCAGATAGGAATGCACAGTACTTTATTTATGACAAAAATGAGATAAGCCAGCCTCACTGCATTTGGGGGAACTCATTCTGCCAAGCTGAGTACTGGCCTTCCGGCCCAAAGTCCTGTAGAGGTCGCACATTCCAGTTCCAGTATTGTTGGGCACCCACAGGTGTTGTGTTTTATTTTGAGGTGGGGGTGCTAAAACACCAAAACGATGGAACAGACTATTTTATGAGACAGACAGAGAGAGACAGAGAGAGAGAGAGAGAGAGAGAGAGAGAGAGAGACAGAGACAGAGACTGTACATTTTGCCTTGTATACTGTATCATGTTCTGCCGAGACAGGTCAGTTGGTTGAGCATGAGACTCTTAATCTCAGTGTTGTGGGTTCCAGCTGCATGTTGGACAAAAGATTCCTGCATTGCAGGGGTTAGGTCTAAATAACCCTTGTGGTCCCTTCCAGCTCTTGTTGTTGTTTAGTCGTTTAGTCGTGTCCGACTCTTCGTGACCCCATGAACCAGAGCACGCCAGGCACTCCTGTCTTCTACTGCTTCCTGCAGTTTGGTCAAACTCATGCTGGTAGCTTCGAGAACACTGTCCAACCATCTCGTCCTCTGTCGTCCCCTTCTCCTTGTGCCCTCCATCTTTCCCAACATCAGGGTCTTTTCCAGGGAGTCTTCTCTTCTCATGAGGTGGCCAAAGTATTGGAGCCTCAGCTTCACGATCTGTCCTTCCAGTGAGCACTCAGGGCTGATTTCCTTAAGAATGGAGAAGTTTGATCTTCTTGCAGTCCACGGGACTCTCAAGAGTCTCCTCCAGCACCATAATTCAAAAGCATCAATTCTTTGGCAATCAGCCTTCTTTATGGTCCAGCTCTCACTTCCATACATCACTACTGGGAAAACCATAACTTTAACTATATGGACCTTTGTTGGCAAGGTGATGTCTGCTTTTTAAGATGCTGTCTAAGTTTGTCATTGCTTTCCTCCCAGTTCTACAATTCTATAATTCTACAAATGCTAGAAACTTATTATCTCTTTCTTTAAAATGAAAGTTAGGATTATGGTTCATCAGGAGGGGGGATAGCTCCCTCTCCCTCTGTGGATGACCATGCCACTATATTCAGAAATTTGATACAACCATCACTGTGGCCTATGTGACCCATTTAAGTTGCCATTTGTAAACTCAACAGATGAGACATATGTAGTGGTGTGGAAGGGGCAAGAATGCATAAGTGATGGTTTCCGGCCCCACCCTAGATCAATGGTGGTTGTTCTTCGTAGCCCTCCGGGGGCTGCAAAGAAGTTCAGGCAGGAGAAAGAGAGGAAATGAGATGTAAATCCTCTCGATACTCCTCATTGGGGTCTGGGGAGTTCACTGCATCCCTAAGTGTTGCGCAATCCTGTGTCTGTCAACTTGAAAGGCAGAATGGGAGCGATATGGGAGTGTGCCCCTGCCATGGACAAGCCTCTGTTACCGGTATGATTTGTGGAAGCTTCCTCCTCAATCTGGATAATCGACATTAATCAAGAGGCGCTCCCAAAGCATCATATGCTAATGGGCTGTAATCAATCAGCTGCCAAAAGAACCATTTTCTGAAGCTATTTGAATGGCTTTCTGAAATTTGAGAATACTTACAACAGCCTGAAAGGAAAAGGGGAGAACAAGGAGCTTTGTGCTTTCTTATGGTTTTGTAATGGTCTTTTTTTTTCTTTTGTCCTCCTCTATTATGAAGAAACGTGTGTAGAGCAGGAAACCTGATTTTAAGAAATTGTATTAAATTAAAGTAATTTGGTTTGAGATATATATATATATATATAGTGAGGGGGGGAAGTATTTGATCCCCTGCTAAATTTGCCCGTTTGCCCTCTGTCAAAGAAATGACCAGTCCATAATTTTAATGGTAGGTTTATTGTAGCTGTGAGAGACAGAATAACAACAGGAAAACCCCCAGAAACCCAGAAGACAAAAGTCAGAGATCGATGTGCATTATAATGAGTGAAATAAGTATTTGATCCCTTTGCAAAAGTTGACTTAGTACTTGGTCGCAAAACCCTTGCTGGCAATTACAGAGGTCAGACGTTTCTTGTAGGTGGCCACCAGGTTTGCACACATCTCAGGAGGTGTTTTGTCCCACTCCTGTTTGCAGATCCTCTTCAAGTCAGTAAGATTTCGAGGCTGATGTGTAGCTACTCGAACCTTCAGCTCCCTCCACAGATTTTCAATGGGATTAAGGTCTGGAGACTGGCTAGGCCACTCCAGGACCTTAGTGTGCTTTTTCTTGAGCCACTCCTTTGTTGCCTTGTCCGTGTGTTTTGGGTCATTGTCATGCTGGAATACCCATCCTCGACCCATTTTCAATGCCCTGGTTGCGGGAAGGAGGTGCTCATCCAAGATTTGACAATACATGGTCCCATTCATCGTCCCTTCGATGCGTGTATGTGTATGTGTGTGTGTGTAATACATAAGTGCCGATCCTAAAAGCAGTGTGCCCACCCTGTCTGAATTAGAAAAATGGGATGATTGTATGCCTCATATCATAAACAAGCATAGGCTTGTTTCTGCTTGTAATATGTGAGATGGGGTTCCCCTTGGGTTATTTTTTTTCCCCTGGAGCCACTTCTGTGCTCAGCAGAACTTTAGCACTTCACTGCTTCTGATTAGGTGCGGAATTGCCTCACGGCTTGGCAACACTGTGTTAAGTTATGATATGGGAAGTAGGCCATTTACTCCAGGGTCCCACCATAATTCAGGCTTGAGATTTTTCTCATATTGGGGTGGTGGTGGTGGTGGTGGTGGTGGTGCCATGAATCCCTCTATAGCAGGGGTGGATAACTTATGCCCCTCTAGATAATGTTGAACTCAAACTCCTTTCATTTGTGACAATTGGCCTTGTTGGCTGAGGCTGATGGAGATACAGTCCAACAACATATGGAGAGATCCAAGTTCCCCATTCCTTCTCTAAAGCCTCTTGCTTCATCAGCAGATGGGAAATAAGTACAAAAGAATAAGAAAATAAGTTCTTCCCATTCAGCACCTTGGGGACCTTATTATTAAGATTTTTTTTTTTTTACTGTACTGTATGAAGTGGTTACAAACCATTAATCTTTATAAGCAGCCAGAAGATGGATATTAATGTTCCCACAATGGAATGTTGGAACTGTGTACCATTTTGAATCATTAAGGAGGCTAAACCACAGTGATTTGGTTAAGGCTGTTCAGTGATTTGGGATTTGAAAACAGCTCTCCAAGATCCAAGACTAACATTCTGACTACTGGAGAGTATTGAATACCCAGAAAACTAAATAAATTTTGTGCTCATGTTGGACTAAATACTTCATCAAACAATCTCTTTGCATTGCCTCTCCTTTTGATTTGCCCATCCTAGCAACTCACTAATTTGAGAAATGTGCCGCTTGACACCAGTCACCTGAGAGAAAGGCAAAGTCCAACAGACTGAGTCATAAAACCAACATAAAGTTGCAAAAGAATCTTATATGTGTGTGATAGCAAGAGATCAACCCGGGAGATCAACACCTGGTACCTTTGATCTGAGCAAGAGTAGCCTGACATCTTCCACCAAAACAGGAAAACCCACAAAGGCTTATATCCTCTCCAGCTTAATAACAGTGTCTGAAGGGATGATAAGAACCTTAGCACATTCATAGACTCAGAGTTGAAAGCAACCTCAAAGATCTTGTCCAACCCTCTGTTGATGTAGGAAATCCACTACTATTGCATCTCTCTGATACATGGCCATCCAGCCTCTGCTTAAAACCTCTAGCAAAGGGCAGTCCACTACCTTCTGAGTAGACTCTCCCACTGCTGAACAACATGTATCCTCGGGAAGTCCCTTTCCTACATTTCCCATTACAATATAACACAAATAAATAAACAATTATATACCACTTTAAAGCACTCAGTGCTTCATATAAATAAACTTACAATCCCACAACCACTTGGCAAGGTAGGTTGGTATTATTATTCATGAAAACATTAAAAGAGCCCTGCTGGATTAGACCAAATGTCCATCTAAACCTGAGGTTGCCAACATTACACCCATGGGGAATTCACCTGCCACCCACGTAGTCTATGAATCTCACTCACATTCAGTCTCTCCTTAGTCATGAAGTGATGAGGTACTTTCCCCCTGACTGCAAACACACGAACTTTAATTCTATAATCAGATCCATTGCATCTTTTTTGCCCCTGAAAAAGTACTTCTTGAGAAACTGGTTGTATCGTTGAAATAAATATCTATGCAGGTGAATTATTCCTTAGTGTGTCCATTTGAAAACAGATTTCCGGAATTTGTACTACTACATCCAGTTTTTACCTCATGCAGCTACTACAAACTGAACTGATGTGTTCAGTGAGCTGAAGTTCTATTTCCTGATAAGTTACCCCACCAATCTATAAGTGAAGTTAGGCATATGTGCCCCAATATATGTTACTCTACAAGGGCCTACACTGAAGCATTTTGTTGTCTAGTCACCAAGTTTGGAGATAACTTTTTTTGACCTCTCTCCAGTCCACTTGCATTTTCATCACCTTGAGTAAATTGGTGTGATCTGGAAACTCGGCCATTTCAAGGATCAACTTTGACTCTAGAAAACAACCCCCGAGTTGTCCGCGACTGGACTTAACTGTCAGGGGTACTTTTACCTTTACTTAATACAGTGGTACCTCTGGTTATGTACTTAATTCATTCTGGAGGTCCATTCGTAACCTGAAACTGTTCTTAACCTGAAGTACCACTTTAGCTAATGGGGCCTCCCGCTGCTGTTGTGCTGCCGCCGTGCAATTTCTGCTCTCAACCTGAAGCAAAGTTCTTAACCCAAGGTACTATTTCTAGGTTAGAGGAGTCTGTAACCTGAAGCATATGTAACTTGAAGCGTATGTAACCCAAGGTACCACTGTACATAAGAATACCAACCTTCCTATTCCTCGGCTGCTAAGTCTAAATAAGAGCCTTTGCTAAAGGATTTATTAAAAGTGTATTGAAAATCTCTGTAGATAATATCCATTATTATTATTTTCACCTAGTAATAATAATAATAATGGTTATTATTATTATTTTATGCCCAGCAGGTCCCAGGGTTGGTTACAATGTTGAATATTAAATATTTAAAATAGTTAAAACAAATAACAGTCGTGGGAGTAGGATGTGCCCTAAAATACACATATATAAGGTGTCAAAGACCAGGGTGAAGAGCTGTGTCCTCAGCATTCTAAGAAAGCTGTATAGTGAAGGTGCCACATGCTTCTCTGTGGATTACCCTACTCGACTGGACTGTTCCCCACCCACAAGTTTGTTTACATCTTCAAAAATTTCCAAAACGTTGGTGAGGCAGGACTTCCCTTAGGAGAAACCATACTGATCCATTCCCATCAAAACTCGATGTTCTAATGCTTGGCAATCTTATATTATGGCATTCCCACCAGTTTCTACAAAGCAAATAAACTAACTAGCCAGTGGGGATGGAAGGATCTGCCAATTTTAGTTCTCTCAGTTTCTCAATTTTCCAGTCTTAAATTCAGTTTTCCACATTTCTGCAGCAATTTGTGATTTTTTTAAAGAAAAAAAAAACCCGCATGAAAATTCTTCACTATTATGGTGTAACTTTCTCCTCATAAATACATATTTGTATGCAGTTTTGACTTGTGTATACACACACTTTTGCCAGCAATTTCTCCTAAAACAGTGCATTTTTGCAATGCTCTTTTCATGAATATATTCAATGCACACTTTCTCCTAACATATATGCATTTGTGTAAACATTGGTGGTTGGAGAAATGTATTGCGAAAAATCACGAACGTGCGAATTTTGAAAGATTCATGCTTTGGTTCTCTTATCGTTTTGAAAAGTGCTAATTTGATAGGTTTGGCTTAAAATGAGAACTGAATTTCTCCTCCATCTCTGCTGGCCAGTAATGTCCTGGATTCTATTTTAAAGAGCAGCATTTACATTAGCTTCTTTTCAATTCCTCAGTTTGGAGGATGATTCTAGTGACACGTTGACTGTTTTTGTTACAAGGTAAAGGTACCCCTGACCATTACGTCCAGTCATGGATGACTCTGGGGTTGTGCACTCATCTCGCTCTATAGGCTGAGGGAGCTGGCATTTGTCTGCAGACAGTTTTTCCGGGTCATGTGGCCAGCATGACTATGCCGCTTCTGGCACAATGGAACACCGAAACCAGAGCAGCGCACGGAAACGCTGTTTACCTTCCCGCTGGAGCGGTACCTATTTATCTACTTGCACTTTGACATGCTTTCAAACTGCTAGGTGGACGGGAGCTGGGACCGAACAATGGGAGCTCACCCCGTCGCGGGGATTCAAACTGCTGACCTTCTGATCGGCAAGCCCTAGGCTCAGTGGTTTAGACCACAGCACCACCTGCATCCCATTACAAGATAAACTACTGAGAATTTTGAGTTACTGAAGAACACCTGGGCAGATGCTGTCCAGAACATTCCATCACCATATAGCAAATGGAAGGCTGAGGGAGGCTTGCCTAATGCTGCTAATTTCATGGCAAAGCTGAAATTCACACAGGAACTCCCTAATTGTGAACCACAGTCCTGTGTACGCTTATTTAGAAGTAAGTCTCATTGAGTTCAGTGCAAAGAATGAAGCATCCACCACTTTTTAAACACACACACACACACCAGTTCCTCTTGGGAACAAGCAAGGAATGTCAATAAGGACAAACACAGTGAATTGTTGGGCTTACCTGAACAACCAAAAGGAAGCACAAAGAGGCCAAGCCAGAGGAACCACGTTAGAACGGGTGTGGAGAATATCAGTTCTCTCTTCTGTGTGTACATCGTATTTTCCAAGACCACCTTGACCGAAGCAGTGAAATGGCAAGAAGTTACAGGGAGAAATGCAGGATGTTTGTGCAGTTCAGGTGATTTAGTTTAATTTATAGGTAGTATTGCTTTGTCTTGACAGTTCTGTTCCCCTACCCACTCTGCAACCCACCATTAATCTATCAATCTATTTAGATCTATCAGTCAATTTAGCACATGGCTTCCACGGTGGCATATGATACTCAGGGAATCAGCAAATGCATAAGAATTCGTTATCAAACAGTAGTGAACACACAATTGTGCTTGGAGCAATAATTAAATAATCAATCAACATATAATTAATTGAAAGCAGTTCCAGAGCCAGTCCTGTGTAATGTGCATTGGATTTTTACCATCTTAATCAATTGCTTGCGAAGATAAAACAAATGAAGAACACTGGTTCACACTTTATGCGCTGGCAAGTGCATATTAGGTTGACACAACAGAAGCCTAAAGTCAGAGCATATACCTTGGTGATGCATTTTTTTTTAATGATGCTGTGACACAAGTTATGCTGTACCACGACTAAGCTTTGGACCCCAGATTCTAGAAGCAGTCGTACATAAACAGGTAAACAACTATAGGCGGAAAACTGTTTTCAGATGCTGATTTCTAGGCGAGATTATCAACAGGCTTTCAGGGACAGAATGACTAGAATTTGATGCAGGCATGAACGTAGCCAGAATTTATTGGGGTGGGGGGGAGGTTTTATGTTGGGGGAGAACAAAACTGAGTTATTTGCGATGTAATTGGTCAGTTACCTAAGTATTTTTATTTACGTGATGGGGGGGGGCAAATGTACCCCCCCCGGGCTATGCCCATGGATGCAGGGATGATGAATGATCTAAAATGAAAGTCATATGAGGAAAAGCTGAAATGACAGGAGTTCCCAAAGATGTTTACTACCGTCTCAGAAAGAAAAGGAAGAACTATTGTTTACTGCGTCCAGTGAGAATAACATATTGGTGTAGATCTGATTAATATACTGTTGGGCAGGGGTTTTTTTTTAGCTGGAACTCATCAGAACTCAGTCCCGGCCCTTTCTCAAGTGGGCACTATTGCCATTCTAAGAGAAAGAGGGAGGTGTTCTGGCACCTCTTTTTCTAGAAAAATAGCACTGCTGTGAGATACTTCAGATTTCTAAATTCACAAATTAAACAAGGTAACAGAAGATGCTGTAGAATTGCCACTGCTGGAGTTTCTAAAGAGTTCCTACCTCACGGTAAGTGGCCTGACCAGCAGATCTATAGCCAAGTTCAAAGCTCCCTGAGACTTTAAAATGTCCTTAATACTGCTATCAAATGAAAAATGAAATGAAACACAGGCATGCATACCATACATTTAAAGCACTCCCCCCCCAAATCCTGGGAAATGTAGTTTACTCCTTACACAGCAAAAATCCCAAGCACCCTTAACAAACTATAGCTCCCAGGATTCTTTGAAGAAAAGGTGCTTTAAATGTGCTTCAATTGCATTGTTTGTATGCAGCCATGCAAAATTCCTCTTTCAGTACCCCATCTGACCGTTTGCCCAACCCCCTCCGGTTTTCCTGTCATTTCTCACCATACCAGCCTTCTCTTAAGGCAAAAAGATGTGGGGCGAAGGCGCCAAGAAAACTAAAACTAAATGAACCTTAACTCCCCGTTTATGCCAGTCTCATAAGAAACAATCTGTCTAATCAGTCTGCACTGTAACTTAGCAAATTAAGAAAAAGGAAGGAAGAGGGTCCTTCACCGTCAACTTACAGTAAGCAGGAACCAGAGAATGATGATTTGCCTTCCAGATATATGCCTCTTCCTTCAGTGATTGGTATAAATACTAATCTTAATTTGGCTATGTCCCACGCAACAGAAAGCTCCTCTAAGTAGTTCGTTCTTAACCTGTGATTGCATAGAAAGATGAGCTACATGACTTTAAGACAAGCCAAATGTCACCACCCCCACAACTTCCCCTTTTTGCCGTCGGAAAAAAAATCAAAAACTTTCAATCCTTGTCCAGCACTTTCCATATCATTAGAGTAATAGAGGAGCAGGCTAGATTGATAATCTGTGGTAGCACACTGGCATTCAGCAGGATCCCTAGCAGGATCCCTAAGTTTCTAAAATGGGCTAAGAAACAAATATTAATTGAATAAATGTAGGAGTGGTGTTATTAAATGGAATCCCATCCCACTTTCATTTCTAGGCCAGCCTGGCAATGGCCCACAAAGCATGGGCCGATAATGGGACAAAAGGAGTGGCTCTGTGCCAGAAGACAAAGGGCTGGACCTTCCTCCTTCAACTGTTTGTTAGAAAGAAAAAGGCCAGAGTCGAGAGTTGAATAATATGAGCTAGAAGGTGGATGCAAAAGCTGCAGGCTAGAAAGGCAGAGAGCTGGGGGGCAGAGAGTCAGGGGGTGCTAATGCTGTGAACCCCTCCACTGTAGGCTCAGGTGGTATATATATGTGTAAATAAAGACACCTTAGTCTCTGCTGTCCAAAGGAAACGTGAACCCTGAGTAAACACCCAGAACCTCTGGAATCTCACACTGCTCCAAGATTGGGGTGGCAGCAACACAACTCACTCACCGTATTCTGGCCTTTACTTCTTTATTTCAAAATTATGTAATCATTAGATAGGCTTATTGCACATTAAGAAGAGCTTCCCTATTCATAAACTATCACCTTGCAACAATTTGTTTATTTATATTTAATTACATTTATGGGCCACCTTTTCCACCCCCAAGGAGCTCAAAGTAAGAGTACATGGTTCTCCCAGTTCTCCCGCTCATTTAATCCCCACGGTGCGGAGTTCTGGGATTTCTTCCAACTCCCTTCCCCTTTACACACATCCAGATTTGGGTAGGCGTTGGGGTGGGGAGGGGGAAGAGCCATTGTTCTAGTGGGACTCATTGTTCTGGGCAGCGGCGTAGCTATCCGCTCGGGTGCCTGGTGCGGGGTGTGTGTGTCCTGCAGCTGGGGGCAGGGCAAGCCTCTCCAATGCTTGGAGCCTCTCCTCTGTCTCCCCCTCAGCTATTGGGCGGCTGAGAGAGAGGCAGTAGGCAGACGCAAGTCCCATGCTGCCGTTTTAGGCAGTGTGGAACCTGCAGGCACCTAAGCTACCACATCACTCCTAAAAAGTTTTGTGAGCCCAATTTTTATTTTAAACTCATTTTGTCACCCCCCTCAGTGATGACACCAAGGGCAGCCCGCACCCTCCACCACCTTCCTCCTCACTGCTTCTGTGTTCTGCTAGTGCAACCAATTTACTTTTTTTACTTGGGCATTTGGATAGACATTTTGTCACTCTTGCAGGGTGGTGATATAAATGTGATTTGTTGTGGTGGTTTGAATTATCATATTGTTTTGCTTTATTGTCTATTGTACACTTGTTCTGGGACTGATTTCAATAATGAGCAGGTTATAAACTACCTGAATAGCGTATCAGCCCATTAGTGGGGCTCATCCTGATCTGCCCAGCCATTTTCTTCTGTTGCCACAAGGCACGTTTGAGGCCTGCTGCTCTTATCACCAGGGTTGAGGTAAGGCTCAAAGGCTGGTCCATTCAGCTTCTATACATCTTGTTCTCCCCCTCCCCCTTCACTAGAAGCAGCAAAATATTTTGGGCTGATGTTCTGTGGTTTAATTATGTTGTGTTTATTCCTGCAGATTTTGATATGGGGGATATATATTTTTAAGCGTTTGCTTTTATGGACATGAACATTAGCTTTTTCTTTCTCTATTCCACTCCCCACCTCCAGTTGCCATTGAAACATTTGGCCAGACCCAGTAATGTTCACTTGACTTTTTTCTTTAAATGGGAATCCCCAAGTTATACTGTAGCTGGGTGGTGCCTTCTCATTACCTAGTTTGGTCAAGTGGTATTATTTGAACAGAGTACTGTTTATTTTCCTCTCTTGTCTCAGCAACCCTGAAAAAGCAGTTTCTCTTCATCCATTGCCTTTCTAATCTGGGAAGGAGGGGTACACCCATTTCTTCAAGACTGGTGAGGAGAACTTGCAATGTAGGCCTTTCCCCATCTGGTCCCTTTTATGTTTTGAAAAACTGGAAAATGGATTAGTGTTCTTCAGCTTCTTTACTTCCCTTTAAAACTTTTAAAGGCTTTACATTTCTGTTTGCCTTTCTATTTCTAGCAAGATGTGGCAGTGTGTAAGGTAAAAGGTAAAGGTAAAGGACCCCTGGACAGTTAAGTTCAGTCAAAGGCGACTATGGGGTGCGGAGCTCATCTTACTTTCAGGCCGAGGGAGCTGGTGTTTGTCCACAGACAGCTTTCTGGGTCCATGTGGCCAGCATGACTAAATCGCTTCTGGTGTAATGGAACACTGTGACAAAAGCCAGAGCACACACAAACGCCATTTACCTTCCCACAGCAGCGGTACCTATTTATCTACTTGCACTGGCATGCTTATGAACTGTTGGGTTGGCAGGAGTTGGGACAGAGCAATGGGAGCTCATTCTGTCGCGGGGATTTGAACCACTGACCTTCTGATCAGCAAGCCCAAGAGGCCCAGTGGTTTAGACCACAGCACTACCCACATCCCATATACAGTGGTACCTCGGGTTACAGACGCTTCAGGTTACAGATTCCGCTAACCCAGAAATAGTGCTTCAGGTTAAGAACTTTGATTCAGGATGAGAACAGAAATCGCACAGCGGCGGCGGCAGCGGGAGGCCCCATTAGCTAAAGTGGTACCTCAGGTTAAGAACAGTTTCAGATTCAGAACGGACCTCCAGAATGAATTAAGTTCTTAACCGGAGGTACCACTGTACTAATTATACACAAATGACAAATGTTCTTTAGATGATGTTCCCTATTCCTGGGGTCTAGTAGAGACCAAAGGCCTGAATCACTTAGTCATACATGGTGAATAAGAAATATTGCCCATTCTGGTGTAACACTGCTTCTGATTGGCTCACTGGGGTAGCCAACATGGCATCATGAGGACTTTCCCTGGCATCTACAAAGTCTTGGAGCCTACCCTTCCCCCCCCCAGGTCATTCTCCCCTACAGTGGCAAATGCGGTTACCTCCTCCCACCCACTGCTCTCAAAAGTACGTAGAGTTGAAGGAAGAAGTTGGAGGAAGAATTCTGTTTCTCATTTTCTCTTTCATTTTTTTTTTTTTTGAAAATGATATTTATTGAAGTTTCAAAAAAGGTTACAAAAATAGGAAAAAGAAAAGAAAAAAAAGAAAAAATACAAAATACAGAAAAGTAAAAGCACTTAAAAACAAATCAATCTTTCCATGTCTTGTCTTTCATTTACCGTATTTTTCGCTCCATAGGACGCAATTTTTCCCCTCCAAAAATGAAGGGGAAATGTGTGTGCGTCCTATGGGGCGAATGCAGGCTTTCGCTGAAGCCTGGAGAGCGAGAGGCATCGGTGCGCACCGACCCCCTCTCACTCTCCAGGCTTCAGGAAGCTATCCGCAAGCCTTGCAAGCCCGGTGGGAGTTCCCGCGGGCTCACAAGGCTTGCAGGCAGCAGCCTGCAGCCCCGGCGAGTGTCCGCAAGCCTTGCACGCCCAGCAGGAGGTCCCGCCGAGCGCGCGAGGCTTGGGGCGGCAGCTTGTCGCCCGAAGCACGGGGAGCCCTCCGGAGGGCTCCCCGTGCTTCGGGCGAGTGTCTGCAAGCCTTGTGCGCCTGGCAGGAGGTCCCGCCGAGCGCGCGAGGCTTGGGGCGGCAGCCTGTCGCCCGAAGCACAGGGAGCCCTCCGGAGGGCTCCCCGTGCTTTGGGCGAGTGTCGGCAAGCCTCGCGCGCCCAGTGGGAGGTCCCGCCGAGCGCGCGAGGCTTGGGGTGGTAGCCTGTAGCCTGAAGCACGCGGAGCCCTCCGGAGGGTGCCCCGTGCTTCTTGCAGGTGTGCACAAGGCTTGGGGCGGCAGCCGCGGCGGGGGGGGATAATTTTTTTTATTCATTTCCCCCCCCCCAAAAAACGAGGTGCGTCCTATGGGCCGGTGCGCCCTATAGAACGAAAAATACGGTACTTGTTTCCCTGACCTCCTCACACCTCCCTTTTTTGTATTCCAGTTCAGTTAGCTAATTCAGCAAATCCTTTCCCTCTTTGTTTTTATCCTAATCCTTTAACTTAATATATTGTAACTTTAGATTCTCACCTGTTAACAATCCATTTTTACATACTCCTTTGTAATATTGCTGCTAAAACCACGTAACTTCATTCTGACATCATTCTAACATTCATTAATTTTACAGTATTTCTGTAAATAGTCTTTAAATTTCTTCCAATCTTCTTCCACCAACTCTTCTCCCTGGTCTCGGATTCTGCCAGTCATTTCCGCCATCTCATTTTCTCTTTCAAGTCTATTTGCTTTTCAAGGCTCCGATTGGCACCTTGAGAAGCTGAACAGAAAGTGGAGCTACTGAGAGGGGAGAAGGGATGAAAGGGCACCCCAATCTGGGAAAGTGAGGGGGTGTTGGTAAAGTGACCTGGGAAGAGATTGGAGGGGAGGAATGTGAGGTGCCACAGAAATTGGGTGGGGGCATGCAGAATTGTGTTGGGACTGGTAAAACAGATAATTTCAACTCTTGATCTGTGATTTGATGGTGGCTTTATTACCACCCTATCTAAAAGTCACTAAGCTCCAAGAGGAGGGTCCATGCCTTGGATAAAAGTTTTGTGGTGCTGAGTTTACTTGGGAATCTACCACTGCAAGGTATGATATGACAGTGGTTTTTGGGGACCCCATTTAAAACAATACAAATTAAAGGGAACCCATTTTAATTCTACTAGATCAGCATATATTTAGGCTCCATCTATCGGGGGGGGGGGGGAGAGGAGAGAGAAAACCAACCTCATAATCTGTTTGTGATGATAAACTAAAATCCATTTCGCATTTACTTCTGCCACCCTGTCTCCCCCACCCTATATTTGTGCCTTTGATAATTTGCACCTAAATGTTTTTGTTGATGTTGTTGTATGTTAAACTGACTGTTCCACTTATTTTTTACCTTAAGAATGTTTAACAGGATGTTTTTCATCAGAGCTGGGTGAATTTATTACAGAACAGCTGCAATCTGAACATACATAGGGACATTTACTATCAGTATAGGTGGTCATGAGCAGGAGGGGAAATAGCCCACAGGTGTGCTATTTTTGAGTGCAGTTGACCTCAGTGCACACTCCATGCATTCACTTCCCACTCTTAGGATAGGACTGAAATTTGAACACTCTAGTGCACAGGTAAAAGGTAAAGGGACCCCTGACCACTAGGTCCAGTCGTGACCGACTCTGGGGTTGTGGCGCTCATCTCACTTTATTGGCCGAGGGAGCCGGCTTATAGCTTCCAGGTCATGTGGCCAGCATGATTAAGCCACTTCTGGTGAACCAGAGCAGCACACGGAAACGCTGTTTACCTTCCCTCCAGAGCGGTACCTATTTATCTACTTGCACTTTGATGTGCTTTCGAACTGCTAGGTTGGCAGGAGCAGGGACCGAGCAATGGGAGCTCACTCCATCGCGGGGATTTGAACCACCGACCTTCTGATCGGCAAGTCCTAGGCTCTGTGGTTTAACCCACAGCGCCACCCGCATCCCAGAGTGCACAGGTACATAGGGCCAAACACAACATGACACTGATTGCATGAATGCAATTAACAAACTTTTTTTTAAAAAAATGCAGCAATCAGAGCCCAAGCAATATTGGAGCTGTGAAGGATGGAGAGATAAAGTTTTACAATTTAACTCCTTGCCTTAATCAGGATGAAAATATCCCCTATGCTATTTGCTTCAGAAGGAAAGCCTCTATTGGCAGCATCATTTTCAAATGCACCCTTAGCATTTGTCTAAAAAGTAAAAAAGACTAACAAAATAGTGATAGTGCTTTACAAAGGCCAGTAAATACTAGGGATTACCCTTGCTAACTTCAAACATTTGGAGCACATGTTGATGGATGGAGCAAGCTTGCTTTCTCCTGCTCCAAAGGCTAGGACCTCAACCAATGGCTTCAAGTTCCAAGAAGGGGGATTCCGACTAAACATCAGAAATACCTTTCTGACAGTAAAAGTTGTTCAACAGTGGAACAGACTTCCAGGAGAGGTGGTGGACACTTGTTCCTTGGAGCCTTTTAAGCAGAGGCTGGATGGCCATCTGTCATGTACGATCCAGTTGAGATGCCTGCATTGCAGGGGGTTGGGCTAGATGACCCTCGGGGTCCCTTCAACTCTAAAATTCTATGCTTTTATTTTATAAACCTTGAAGGATGCTGTAAAGGCACTAAAGGCCATTAAAACCACTGGAATGATTTCTTTTAA